GCTCTCTTGCAGACATAGTGAAAGCAGATAGTAGCAACCGGAGCACCCCAAGTAAGAAGTCAAGCAATAAAGTAGTGGTTATGGTGCTTGGAGTGTTCCTTTATCCAGGGAATGCATTTAAACAGTCTCCCCTGTTCATTTACCCAATGTATACAGGTGTAAGAAAGGATAAGCATGGTAGGGGAATGCAGACCCCTTCCTGGACTTCCTAAACTGCCGGGTGTAGAATAATCCTAATATTTAATAGGGCAAGAGTACCCCATTACCAATCCATCTGGCCCTGGTACCTCAAGTTTCCCATGATTAGGAGACCAAGCCAATAGCCACACTTGCCAAGTGAGACCTTAAAGGAAACATATAGTTGTAAAAAATTACCATAGCTAATTCAGGGCTATTCATCACCCTTTGAAGTCTGTCTGTAAATGCTGCACGTACAAAATGGAACCTATTTTTGGTTAGTGCAACTCACAAGCAGGACAGGATCCTCGGTACCCGCCCAGTAAGTAGACAAACTGTTGAAAAACATTTTGCCCCATTACTAGGAAATGGAGTCAGGGTACTGCTTGGAGTAACCCTTTAATTTTGGCCTCACTAGATGTACCATATGTGCCATAAACAGGCCTTTTTTTACATCTCACAAACCTTGATTCCATCTAGTTTATATAGCTAACAGTGTTTTCGTTTCTGTGGCTTCATAAATAGCATTTTTGTGAAATTTGGCAGCAATGCGCTTAAACAAATTGAGGATAGTGTAGTATATCACAATCTAAAATCGGTAGTTGATCAATTATATTATCTGACGTTTGGCCAAAATCACTAAACAGTTTTCAAAGTGATCATCATTCAAATTCTATTGACAATTTTACAGCTTGTAACGCAGCCAATGTGTGAAATGCTATCAACTTAAAACCAACTTGTGAGTTATTTGTTAAGGAACACCACAAGTAAAATAAAAAAGGAACACTCCTGTCACCAATACAAACATGATAGTTTGTTTTATTTATTTTTTTACCAATTCATTAGGTATGTTTTTATCTTTGCTAATACGGTGGATTCTTTTGCATGCTCAAGTCTTCATAGTTGTACAAAAAAAAAAAAAAAAATGCTTTGCAGATGGTGTACCAAACGCCACATCCCCGCACTGAGTGATCTGAATTAAAAAAACAACCTTAATAAGGAGAGGTCACTCATGGTGACATATAGTAAGGATGTCACTACCTTCTACCTTCCAATTGGCCGGGATCTGGTGGGATAGTACTGATTTTAGGATCTAGTTTCTATCCTGGGTTTATTCCCTGGATCCCACCTTTTGTAGACACCAGGTTAACTGTTCCTAGACAGCATAGCAGGAGCAAAGTATTACATACAATGGGGCACTAGGACAATCAGGGCTGGCTCTTCCTATAGGCCAATTAGGCAGCCGCCTAGGCACCGGTAGTGGCTATACAGCTCGTTTAGCCGCCCCCCTATCGAGCTGTATTAATTATTTAGAGCGCCCGCCGGCCATGTTACCGGGCACTAAGGAGCACTTACATGGCTGCTGACTAGCACCCGGTAGAAAACTGGTCCAGCGCCATCCATGATTCACGTCAGCTCGCAATGCCTGGCCCCCTGTCAGACATCCATTGCAGCAGCAGCACAAGGGCGCATTATTAACTCGCTCTCCCCCTTGTCCTGTAAGTGAGGAGAAATGGGCAGGAGCATAGCAGTGGGGCTAAGACAGGGAAAATGATCCACCACCAGGCAACTAGGCACACTGAAGATGCTTAAAACACATGAACAGCACTGATATGTGAAATTAAATTAAGAGGGTTAATGTATGTGTTTCATGGAATATGTGTCTGTATGGATCTGTCTGTGTCTGTATGGATCTGTCTGTGTCTGTATGGGTCAGTGTGTGTCTGTAGGGTCCGTGTGTATCTGTATGGGTCAGTATTGTCACGGGTGGCGGTACGGAAACCGGGATCCCTGTGTGCCATATGATGATTGGAGTAAACCTCGTGGAAATGAACAAACATCCCCCACCAGAGAGGTCTCCTGTAATGGAAGTAAGCCAGGAACCAAATACGGCAAGAGGGCACCTGTAGAGACCACCAAACCACTTGGCAGATCGACCTCCTCCAAAACATGAATCAGACTAACTGAACAGGAACGAGGAAGCCATCTCCAGCACACTGGTCCATCTACAGAAACTCTTCCAACCAGAAAACCTCTGGCAGGAGGAAAGCTGCAAAGTCCACTCCACAAACTCCATGTTTTGCCTCCGGCCATATGTTATGGGTGGCGGTACGGAAACCAGGACCCTGTGTGCCTGATGATGATCGGAGTAAACATCATGGAAATGAACAATCAGGGCCTGGGTGCAGGGTAACCACACGACCCCTGGTGTTGAGCACCAGGGTTTGTACAGCCACATACCAGGGCCCTGATGCAGCTTCTGCGGATCCCAGGAACTAGGAGAAAATATGCAGACCTCCCTGATCTGGATAGGGAGGCTCAGCAGCAGGTATGTATCCAGTACTAGAAACAAGGAAAGACTAGAACAGGCACCAAACAAGATAAGACAAGACAAGACTAGACTAGTAGAACCCAGAACCAGAGAAGGATAGAAAGCAAAACCCAGAACATGTACACAAGACATGAGGGAAACATGAACAGGGCAGGACAGGACTGTACATGGACTGGGAATACAAAACAAAACAAGATATATATATATAAGGCAAAACAAGAGGAGACATAACTTAGTATTATATTTGTAAAACATTGGAGATTTAGACATACATAAATGGCCAAGATGTATGCAGCCCACCAACTGCGTCAAAGTCCTCCAATTATGGTGGGTCCTATCGACCTAGATATGCATGACTAAATAAATAATATTAAAACACACACAGCACTTACCTGCTAGAAAAGGGCAGATGACTTGTAGCAACTGCCTGCAGGAACCAACTGAAACAAAAGGATAAATGGGAAAGGAATGGGTGTGGCAACAAAAACCAAACATTTAAAGGAATCCAAGAGACTGGGAATTCCAAGAACGGAATACAAGAATGAACCCAGAAAACCCAGCATAAAGAAAACCAGACATGGAATAGAAAACCAGAAAAACTAAACAAGAATTGTAAAAAGAGTACTGGATACCAAAAGCCATAGCCAGAAATGATCCGCAGCAGGAACAGGACGTGACAAGTATGTATCTGTATGGGTCAGTGTGTGTTTATGGATCTGTCTGTGTCTGTATGGGTCAGTGTGTGTTTACGGATCTGTCTGTGTCTGTATGGGTCAGTGTGTGTCTATGGATTTGTCTGTGTCTGTATGGATCAGTGTGTGTCTATATGGGTTAGAGTGTGTATCTGTATGGGTCAATGTGTGTCTATGGATCTGTCCGTATCAGTGTGTGTTTGTATGGGTTAGAGTGTGTATCTGCATGTGTCAGTTTGTGTGTGTCTGCAGGGCCGGTGCGTCCTATAGGCGACTTAGGCAGTCGCCTAGGGCGCACCGGCCCGGGAAGCGCAGCTTTTGAGTGACCTTGGATCCATCAGACTTTTGCCCCTTTGTCACAGGACTCGGATGCCATGTTCTGCAAGTGAAAGTTCAATCTTGGTTATATGTACCCTTTAGTTATAATCATATTTCTTTAATTGAAGAGTATTAAATGGGAACAGGCGGTAAATCTAGCGGTCATCCCACACTGGTCCAGACGCTCATGATTTCATCTCCTGATGAAGCTATACCGGGAACCTCTGTTGGAGCTGTCATCATGTGTTACATAGAAGTTCCGTATTCAATCCAGCACCTCATTCTTTGAAGTTGATGGTATGAAAATTGAGAGGCAACACCTACTAAAGAGGGGTTTCTTTCAACCATTTATCGAAACCTTTCTCTGGGCTTGGAGGCAGTCTACTTCTTCTGCCTACTATCGAATCTGGGTAATCTGTTATAACCACCAAGTTCCTTCAGTTTGATAAAGGTATGAGCCTTAGTTCGCTAGGCGTTCAAGTCTCTGCTCTATTGGAAAATAAACTGGCTTTTGATCGAGACATCGGTTTGGGTCTTACCTATGTGTAGCGCTGTCGTGGATACATCTGGGGAAAAAAAGGATATTTAAATCATACTTACCTATATTTTATTTTCCCGAATATCGCTCACGGCAGCACTGGCCCCTCCCACCCAATTTTCTAAAATTTCATAGTTCTGTGGCTTGGGCACTAAACATGGCCTTGTATAGGAACGCGTTCCTTTTATTATTTAATTGGGAGGTGTTCCAGACCAATTCAGTAGTGGGAGGATCTATACCCTTACGTAGTGCTGCCATGATGGCCTATACCGGGGAATAGAAAATAACGGTAAATATGGTTCACATTTTCTGTTTTAATTAACAAAAATAATTATTTTATTTTCTTGCCTTCGTTGATCAGGGCAGGTTTTGTCTCTCGTTGCCACCAAGTAACGAAAAAAAGAACGAAAAGGAAAAAAAAATAAAAAACACAAAAAAAAGTAGAAGCCACAGTCATTTTACATTTTATTTATTTTCAACATTTTATAGAAATAACATGTATCTAATTTCTTATTTTGTGATTTATTTATTTATTTTTGATCTGCAGGGTGAACAAAGCTGTGAGAGAATGCCCTATATAATGATTGTTTTTAACCCTCTGACACCTGGAGTCAGTAATAATCCCTTTTTTTTTTTGAATGAGAACAGGTTTTGGTGGAAGGCATTTAGTCATCAAAAAAAACAAACAAAAAAACAACCCATCCCTTTCCACGCACAGAGACTGCCGTAACCTAGCAACAGCACAACACGTCAATCACAGCGCCAGCACTCCGGGGGTTACAGCGAGGCGTCACGTGACTGCTCCCCGACGGCCAATGGCAGTGCGAGCAGCTCGCATTCTTCTACAACTGGGAGGGCAGCAGCAGCGGCGGTTGGAACTGGAAGCGACGGCCGTGACGTAAGGATAACTGGGCGTGGCTTACACGGAGAGGGGAAAGGCGCGCCCGGCCCCGCCCCTGGGAGTTGGCCGGCCAATAGGAAGCGAGCGTTGACGTAGCGCTCTGGTCCCGTTACACTTCCTGAGATTGGAGTTTGCGCGTCAGACGCCGCGGAGGATCACACCGAAGGCGCATCCCCCTCAGACAGGACCCCCGTTACTGTGCCCCAGCCACACTCGCAGCATGGCCTTCCCCGGATACGGAGGCGTGAGTATGACAGGGCCGGCCGCGGGTAACCGTGGGAACCACAGCCTCCACAGACCACCTCTCCCTGGGAGCTCATCCAGCCGCCTGGCCGAGGAGCATCACGGGAAACGTGGCCCACCACAGCCGGCTACGGCCTACTCATGCTCCCTCTGTGTGAGTGCTGGAGGGGCCTGTGTGGGTTCGGGGTGGGGGAGGGGAAACACCCCTTACCCATTTCTGCTCCTCCATTGCTTCCTCTCCAGGCGGATCTGGGCGGTTTGAGCTGGTCCAACATGGCTTTATAATGGCCACCCCTCCCCTCATACATGTACCCTGCTATACTACTCATACTGCACCCCTTCATCACAACTAGAACTACCAATCCCATCAGGCTCTGAGAGGCTGCCAGGCAGCTGGGGGTTTGTAGATAAAGATAAAGTGTCTGGGTATTTTTATTCTCTGTTCCTTGGCTTAGGTTATTTTTTTTTATTTTTTATTTTGGTGGAGTTATAAAATAAGCCCACTTAAGAAATATGTCCATTAACAGTGCAAAAAAAAAAACTCTGTTGAATTAAAGATACGATTTAGTTACATTAGGGCACTATGGCAAGATCTAAAGGAAGTTATGTTGCCAGGAATAAATGAACTATTAAAAAAAAAAAAAAAAAATATATATATATATATAATTTTTTTTAATAGTGACAAGCAATTTGGTAGTGGTGTTCATTTAGTTATAATATGATTTTTTTTTTTTTTTATAGAACACAAGTCTGTTCTTTGGTCATTTGAAATGCATAGTTTAGCATTCCTTGAGGTTTTATGTAAAACACGGACTTATCCCTTGTTGCGTACACCAGGCATTATCTAAACAGAGCTCAAAATTTCAACTAGCCACTGGTAAATGATAATTCAGCTCTGGCAAGTTGAAATTCACCCCTACTAAGTGTGCAGTGAACCCTCCAGGCTTGCAGTGGTGAGTATAAGGTTTGAGCCTGTCTAGTAGCATAAAACTATTTTGAGTCCTGGTATAGTTGATTTTGTTCTTAAACCTATTTTTTTTTTCCCCACATTCTGTTTTATTGGAATTAAGAAAAACATACATGGACGTCTCATAGAAGTCTGATAAACTGTATTTGCAATTTTTTTGCAAAGTGAAGTTATGTGATTTAGCAGACTATATCCAAAGGAACACTATAGTGTCAGGAACACAAACCTGTATTCCTGACCCTGTAGTGTTACAACCACTATTTGGCCACCTCTTGCCTCCTTAAAAGATTACTCGAATTCAAGTCTGTTGGGTCTGTCTCTGAAGCTGTCTGCTGACATCAGCAGAAGTGGTGGTCTGAGCCAGTCACAATGCTTTCCCATAGGATTGGCTTTGACTGTCAAGGAAGTACAGTAGATCAGGGGCAGAGCCAGCCCTGGTCAGTCAGTATCTTTTTATAGAGATACATTGAATCAATGCATCTCTATGAGGAAAGTTCAGTTTCTGCATGCAGAGGGTGGAGACACTGAATGTGGTAGTGCTGCTCACTGTGCAGTACTGACCCAGGAAACCCCTTCATTGACTTGCCGGAGTCCAGCGACGACGTCCCTCGGTGCTGGATCAGGCTTTGCCTACTCCCCCGCCCCAGCCATTGGGGGAGACCTAATGTGCATGTGCGGCAATGGCCGCACACGTGCATTAGGCCTCCCCAAATGAAAGCATTATTCAATGCTTTCCTATGGGGATTTTGGCGATGCTGGAGGTCCTCGCATAGCGTGAGGACGTCCAGCGTCGTATAACACACTTTTCGTGTTCTAAGAACACAGAAGTCCCTCTAGTGGCTGGATGATAAGTAGCCACTAGAGGAGGACTTAACTCTGCAAGGTAATTATTGCAGTTTGTAAAAACTGCAATAATTACACTTGCAGGGTTAAGGATGTTGGGAGTTGGCACCCAGACCACTCCAATGGGCAGAAGTGTTCTGGGTGCCTGGAGTGTCCCTTTAAGGTAATAAAGGAAAGTAATCTTAACTTGCTATTACTTAATGGGAGACAATTATGACAAGCTTTGTACATTCATAAATTATATTCTGTATTGTGATTAAATTGACAAATGGCCAAGATCCAGACAATGCCTCTTATTCCCTATGGAAATACTTAATTTGTGTATTAGCCTGGTCTGAAATACTCAAACAAGGGTATTGGACTTGCTTTGTTCTCCAACTATGACTCTTATTCCATTTTAGTTTTTTCAGTCCCATGTTGGAATAATTCTACAGTAGTTGGATATACATGTTATAATCTAGGACATTGTTGAGAACATAATTTCCTTCCCGCACACCATCAAATCTTCCCCAGGCCTAAAATCCTTTAAGAGATCCCTCTCTCCATATCTCAAAACAGAATGCACCTGTCATGGTTGATTATATATTTCTTACCTGTTCTATGTTCCATTTTTGTATATATTGTGTATGTGAATTGTTTTTGTATTTTATTGCACCCTATTGTATCAATGCAATGTTTTGTGGACCCAGGACATACTTGAAAATGAGAGAAATCTCAAGGTATCCTTCCTGGTAAAATATTTTATAAATAATAATTTTGAGATTTGCTCATAGTTTGTTTAGGACTTCATTAACGGTGCTATTGATCAATAAAACGATCAGTAGATCAGTAATGATTGTACACATAGATTTGTGAGAATTATAGGACATTGTGATTATGAGATTAATTTTTATGAATAGGTGAATATAAATGCATTATTTAAAGCTAGAAAAAACGGATTAGAAGGTGAAACTGAATTTTTAGTTTTAGTGCTCTGTATAGGTAACCTGTTAAAAATGTGTAAAACGCCTAGTCCTAAAGAGGTGCTGCGTCTTGAAAATTTTCAGAACTCAAAAAGTCCTGCAGTTTGCAATTCCCAAACTAAGAAGTGACCAGCCCTTCAGGATCTTCAATTTTAAAGGGATGTTTACATTATAGGGTTAAGTCCGCCTCTGGTGACTGTCACTAGAAGTTCTACTGCAACACTGACAGAGTAAAACTCGGTCATTTGATACAGAACCCTCCATGCATTTATTCAATTCTTGTGTGTGGGGAAGTTTGCATGTGTGATGCATTCCCTGCGCATGCACATTAAGTCTCCAATGTTTCACTTTGATTGGCATTGGATTGGACCACACCAGAAGAGGAGAGGTAAGCTGCACTGAGGGAGTCTCTACTGAAATGGATCAGTAAAACTTTTTTTTTTTTTTTTTTTTTTTAAAAGGGGGTCCTGATTAAGAGTAGGGATACAAATTTGTATTCTGTTAACATTTAAATGGCAAGCACAGACTGTTAGCTGAACTACTAATGTCTTAATCCTTATAAATGGGCTTATTAATAAAACACCAGTCATAATAAACTGTAACCTATTATTGCACCATTAGCCTGGATTAACTGTTCAAAGGGCCCCGCGTCCCCATATTTCTGCCATGTAAAAGGTTTAAAAAAAACATTTAAACACTTACCTTAATCCAGTGCAGGGGTTCCTCGACACTGGGTCGGGCTCCTTCTTCTCCAACATCACTCAATTGGGGAGGGCTAATGCGCTTGTGCAGCTAGTGTCACATATGTATTTGGCCTTTCCCCATAAGAAAGCATTGACTTAATGCTTTCCTATGGGTGTTTGCAACATGCTAGACATCAGCATCGGTTTACAGAGTCAAACTTTGTGAAACGGCAGGAAGCACCTCTAGAAGCTGTCTAACACTGCAATGTAAACTTTGCAGTTTCTCTAAAACTGCAGTGTTTTGCATTGCAGGGTTAATGGAACAGGGACACTGCAGACCTGGTAATACCCTGTCATGTAATGCAGAAGCTCATTGAAAAGCATTGGCTGCAGTGGACCAGGGGAGGCCTGGATGCATTGGGAACATTGGATTGGACAATCGCTGCAATAGGCCATGCCTCCTTAAAGACGTCGCTGGAGGCGGAGAGGTGAGCAGCGCTGAGGGGTCTCAGTACTAGATGATACAGGTAAGTAAACCCTTTATAATAATTTTTTGTCAAGCTGTGGGTGTAGGATGTATTTAACTAGGGACACTATAGTATTAGCAATAGTTTGTGTTCCTAATGCTATAGTGTTCATTTAACTCACTCTGCATACAGTGGGCAGGGTAGAGATGATGACAGATGAGAACAACAGTTGTTGCTTTAAGGGTTTCTTTTTGTGGTTTAACTCTGGTTACTGTCAGTATTGTATGTGCTTTTGGCTGTGTCAGTATGTCCTGCAGTACAAACACGAAGGTGGTGGAAAAGAAAAGGCAGTTTTTTTGTTTGTTTGTTTTTTTTTAATTGCCTCTTACAAACTAGATAAAATTGAGCATGCAGAGAATATAGCTAATTAGGCTTTCTACTTGGTTCTTCCTCTTATGTGGTCACTTTAGGAATAGCCTTTTTACATCTTCTCGTAAATGACATATCAGAGCCCATCAACAGTAGACGCACAAATCGTGCATCTATACTTACTTTCATCAGTGATTTTTTTTTTTTACCTTCAAGATTGTTTTAGTTTAATGGCTTGAGTCCATTTTAAATGGGCTCTCAAACCACAACAGTTCCCTTTGGGATAGAGGATATGACTGTGGTTACCATTTGTAACCTTTTTCTGCTGAAATTACATAATGTCAGCTTTTTTACTTTATTTGTTGTCCCCCATGTCATTTGTGATGAACACATTCTCTTTCTTTGTTCCCCTTATTATGATTTTGGCTTCTGTTTTTATAAAATTAACCTATGTCTACTTTAAGCTGACCTTGTTATCCACTTGTTAGATAACATGTCTCTTTTAATAGCATGGTGATTTCTTTTCTCTTCTTCAGAAGATAACTAGAAATAGGTTGTGTAAATGTTGCGGTGACTCCATTCAAGTGCACTTAACTCCGGTTTGTGCAAAAGCATTTTGCAGACTCACTATCTGCGACACAACTCTATTTCCATTAGCTGATAATGTAATTAGTTTAATAGTAATATTTGGGAGCACAATTCTGGTTCGATTTGTTTATTTTATTTTTTTTAATTTGCAGTGAATTTCCTTTGAGTTGTCAATGTCTTGGATCTTGAAATAAATTTAAAGTGAAACATAGCTTGTTTGTTTTAGGTGTAGTGTGGGGGGGGGGAAATATATCTATATCTCTGACTATAATAATTTGCTAAATTCCGACCGTTATGTTTAATATATCATCTAGGCCAGGGGTTCTCAACCCAGTCCTCAGGACCCCCTACCAGTCCAGGATTTGGGGATTACCTGGGTGTGTCTCAGGTGTTTAGAAAAAGGGAAAAAAACACCTTAGACTCTAAGGTGTGTGTGTTTGTTTTTTTTTGTTTTTTTTGACACACCCATGTAATCCCTAAACCCTGGACTGGTAGGGGGTCCTGAGGACTAACGTTGAGAACCCCTGATCTAGGCGAAGCTTTGCTATGAGAAAGGTTGCCATTTTATTTACATCATTCACTCTTACATGGGTTTTAGTCAGTGGATTAGATCAGTAAATGAGTGGGCATGTCCATGCAGCTGGTGAATTGCTTCTTGTGGATGGGATCAGGAATCTAACCCTGTTGTAAAACTTTCTCACCTCCAGTTAATATCATATTGCATTGCTATTTTTTATTTTTTTTTCTAATAACTACAAAAAATAAATGCTTGTACTTGGAGTGTATTTACAATGCTACCAAATCTTTGTGCATAACCATCTTGTTTGACACTAAACACTTTTGTTCCCTCCCTCTCTCTCCCAGTTTGGAAGCCTAAATCAACAGATGCAGATGATGGGACAGGCCATGGCAGGACCAAACATAAATGCTGGTTACTTTGGACAGCCCCAGTATCCTCAAGGCGATCCCTTATGGGGTTATTTCTCAGCTATTGCTGGACAGGTATGGTTTGCTGTTCAACATGATTTTTCTTATATGTCTCGTGTGACTAATCTTAGCTGAGTGCACGAGCATCAAAAAATGTGCTTTTTAGCTTATTGCGGTCAAAGGTAATCTGAGATATAGCTTTACTGGTGGAGTTCTGTCACAAACTGCAGAGAAGTTATCAGTGGAAAAGGGACACAAGTCCATAAAGTTCAATGTTTCATAAGATACCACACCCAAAATATAAGACTGAGCTCAAAATTTTCACTAGCCACTGGTGAATGAAAATGTGTCTAGTAGTATAGAACTTCAATTTTTAAGTCCTGACATAGGTAGTCAAACTGTTTAAGAATGTTTCGACAAATTACCTGGGTTCTGTTCTAAAAGTTCCTACACTGAATAAAGCCCCCAGCAGTGCAGGGAGATGCTCATTGCCTCAGTGCACAGATGCTGCTCTCAGCCATTGAGCAAGCTTAGCTTAGTCTGTCTAGCTATTTTTAAACGGTTTTACTACCAACAATGTGTGGGCACTCCTGGCACCATAACCAGTACGGTTAACTGTAGTGGTTTTGGTTCTTGACATGTTCCTTTAAACGGTCTATTTTGTAGAAGAGGACTGTATTAATGTTTTAAAGGAACACGCAAAAAAAGTTATATTTATAATGTTCAATGTTGGTGTTTTCTTAATTTAGGTTCATTGCTATTATTAAAATATATTTGAACTTGCCTGTAACCCAGTACCGGGATGTTCTCCTTGCAGCCACCACTTCCTCCATGATGAGATCATCAGGATTAATAATATTTAGTCCAATTCAATGGTTCTCATACAAAGGTATGCGAAGTATTGTGGACCTGTGATGCATGTGCTGCAGTTGCAATTCTTTCATAGGGAGAAGCATTGGATTTGTTTGGTGTCATCATGCTATGCATGATGCTCTTAAAGTGGGAAGAGTCTATAGTGGTTCTGTCTGAAAGCCACTAGACATGTTTTTGGGCAAATGTAAACACTGCTGTTTCTCAGGAATCGCAGTGTATTAGTGTTCCAGTAAATTGGAAAACCTCTACTTCAAAACCATTAAAATTGGGTTGTTTTTGTGCTTATTTTCTCTTTAACCCCTTAAGGACCAAACTTCTGGAATAAAATTTAATTATGGCATGTCACACATGTCATGTGTCCTTAAGGGGTTAAGGGCACTTGTCTTCTGGCAGGTGTTGTAAGTTTGTCTGCTTTATCTGTCATCTAGTCACATGACAATTACTTTGGCTGTGACTACTTCTTAGTGCTGGTAATCCCCAGCACAAGTGACAGGAAGCAATTTCACATTCCGTTGTTGAGCAGTGCCTGGTCACTGTTAAACCACAGTTCTAACCTTTTTTATGATTTATATAATCTAGCTTAAAACTATTTTAGGAGGCAGATTGGTCTCATCTAGATCTGCATTATTTGTTTGTTTTTGTTTTTTCAGTTTTTTTATTTTCTGTGCTTATACAGTATCTATACTGAGTTTTTTGCTAATAAAATATTACTTGTGTTATAGGATGGTGAAATAGATGCTGATGAACTACAGAGATGTTTAACACAGGCTGGCATCCATGGGACCTATACTCGTAAGTGTACTAGTAATCAAATTCCATTTTTGTAGAATTGTGTCCGGTCTATATGGTTACATGTAAGAATATTTAAAGGGACACTATAGCCACATAGACCACTCCTGTGTCCTGCAAAACCCCGTAGTAAAGCATTGGTTCAATACTTTCTTATGGGGATGGCCTGATGTGCAGTGGAATCTGATCAAATGGTTTTGTTTTTAACCCTTTCAGTACCACCGTTGGGGAGCATAGAGACACTATATTGTTAGTTTATTGGATTTAAATAGCTTCAACCTCTCCAGAGTTCTCATCATTTTCAATTATATTAAGAATTCTGCTTATTTGATAGAAATGTCCCTTATTATAGATAAAAATTATTTTTGTTTTCCCTCTCTCCCATTCATAAAACTGACCTGAAAACTTACACATCTTTTCAAGTCCCTTTTACGAATGGGGATTCGCTAGCTGAGAGCGTCGGCTGACCTCTCTCAGCGAATCAGAGCTAATACTGTGCAAGCTTTTCGGTTTCTTGATATTTGAGAGAATGGAAGAACAGATGAGTAGAGAGATCCGGTGCTGGTACACAAACTGTGGGGTTAAAACTGTTGAATGGTTTCACCTCTAAAAGTGATCAAGTGCCAAGGACCTCCTAGCGCCTTAACTTTATTTTGATTAAGTTGTTATGGTGCCTTGAGTGTTCCTTTTATTAGCTGCAACAGCACATTAGATGTTGGCAAAGACTCATCCAGTTTCAATAGATACATTGTCTGATGGTGAAAGTCTACATTTTGTGCATGTCTTTTTTTTATTTTTATCCTTGTATATAGTTGTCTGTGGAAAGATGATTATTCTATCTTCTGTATTTCTCAGAACTAGAGTGGCTGGTTGGAAAGGTTTTTGCTCAGTGTTGGAAAGTAATTTGTGTGACACACCCCTCTAGAGTTTGAGTGCAATGACTTGAGAAGGGAAATGCGATAATGTATGGGAATGCTTCAGGACCTTTGAACTTTTACATTTTTGACATTTGTCTCTAGTGTAATACATGTTCATAGTAAATGATTCTACTCTCTCTTAATTAGCTGCAATTCTGGTAATCCTCATTTGTATTATCATCTCCATGCTCTCTGCATTTGAATTTTTATTGATTTCAGTGAAGATTCTGCTCAGGATCTGAACTTGCGCACAAAGAACTAAAGTCTTTTTTGCTGCCACAAATGTCTCTTAAGTTGCTTTATTGCAAATGCATATAAATAAAACCTAATCTGTTAATTTACAAACTATCACATTTCAGTTGTCTGTCCTGTCAATGCTAATGCCAAAGATGGCCCATGTTGTTTTTTTTTTTTTTTAATAGGTTGCAAGCATTAACCAGAAACCAAAATAGATTACTCTGATCTTGTCAAGACAGTGCTTAGTATTATACATACAATAACAAAGACTAGCCACTAAATGCAAAGTTGGGTCAAAATATATGTCAAAACGGGTAGTCTGACAACTGTGCCATTTTGTCTTTTCAGCTTTCAGCTTGGAAACTTGCAGAATCATGATAGCCATGCTGGATGTATCCTTTGGAAATATTATAAAGTGTTGCCTAATGGGCAACTACTTATTTACTAGTTGTGTTTTAGTTGAAATATAAATGTATAGGTAATCCTAGGAGTCTTGTGAATGAGTTCATAATGTGTTTTTTTTTTTTTTTTATTCTTTATTTTTGGTTCGACACATATTACAGCATTGCAGTATACAGTGGCTTGCGCAGGGGCTGTTGGTGATTTGAGGCTAACATACGAGTTTGTAATTTTGATATTACAATGGTTTGCTGAAGTATGACATCCCACATATTAAAGGGACGCTATAGCTTAATGTAGTTGTTCTGGTGAGTATTTAAACACTGCTTTCAAGCATTGTAATGCAAACACTGCCTTTTCAGAGAATAGGCAGTGTTTACATTGCCCTAGGGACACCTTCAATGCATCTCTGAGGAGGTGCTGATTGGCCAAATCTGTGTTTCACATGTGTGACATGTCATGATTCCCTTTAATTCCAAAAGTTTGGTCCTTAAAGGGTTAAAGGGACAATGTAGGCACTATAACCATTTTAGCTTACTGAATTGGTTAGGGTGCCTGGGATCCCCTGGCACTATCCCTCCATTCAGTATTGTATTATTTGAATAGTTTAACACTAAATGAAGGACTCAATCCCCCACTGAAAGTATGGCTAATACAGATTACATATTTCATTCTCGGAATACCAATTCATACAAGCAATAGCCATATTATAGGTTGAAAGCAGCCATCTGACACTTTTAGCCAAGTATTGCTGCTGAATGTGTCCTTAAACCGGAATCTCTCTTTTCCTCTGGTTAGCTTGGAAACGTGGCTTGAACACATCAGATATAATAGTCATTTAAGTATTATGTAATGCAAATAACGTGTACTTGCTTGGGGCCAATATCTAATTTTATAGTACATTGCTATTTTCGTGAAGGAACCACCTGGCACAGAAAATACAAGTGCTAGCAAAATGAGTAACTCAGATTTTCTGGTAATGTTCTTTTATTTTTTTGTTTGTCTGTGTACTTAATTTATGCATCATCTTTATTTTTATGTGTATGCACTACAAATGTATTTTTATATTTTTTTTGTGTGTGTGCTTTTATTAAGTAATGGTTTATTCATTTTTTTTTTTTTTACTGTTATACAATGCTTGTACTTGGAGTTGTACTTGAGTTTTTAATGTATTGGGCACCCCATTTTTCAAATGGTCGTAGTGGTGGCAGCTTTTATACTAGTTATAAGTATGGATGGTGTCAAGGGGTTATTTTGGGCCTAGAGCAAACATGGATTTTTAACTGTTATACCCACTGAAGGAAGTCGCGTTCCACCTTGGATTGGTAGTGTCTTGACACAAGAGGAGTCCAGACACTATAACTAGTTTGAAATGAAACCGTGTCTGCATTCCCTTTAAAGTGAAAGGTGAATAACGTGTGTTGTACTTTAGTTTTTCATTGATTTTTTTTTTTTTTGTTTGTTTTGTTTAGAATGTAATCTCTGTATATATCTTCTGTGATATTGTCCCATAACTCACAGATCAGTGTGTGTTGCATATATTAAAGGAACACTATAGTCACCTAAACATCTTTAGCTTAATGAATCAGTTTTAGTGTGTAGATCATGCCTCTCAGGTTTTACTGCTCAATTCACTGCCATTTAGGATTTAAATCACTTTGTTTCTGTTTATGCAGCCCCTGTCACACCCCCCCGGCTATGATTGACACTGCCTACATGGGGAAAAATGGCTTTACTTTCAATCACATGTAATTTACGTTAAACAATTTTATCTCCTGCTCTGTAAATTGAACTTTAATCACATAGGTGGCTCGTGCAGGGTCTAGCAAGCTATTAACATGGCAGGGGATAAGAAAATCTAAATTAAACAGAACTTGCAATAAACGAAGGATAAACATTAGATGATTCTTTACAGGAAGGGTTTATGAAGGCTGTGCAAGTCACATGCGGGGAGGTGTGACTAGGGTTCATAAACAGTGATGTAACTCCTAAATGGCAGAGAATTGAGCAGTAGACTGCATGGACATGTTCTATACACCAAAACTTCATTAAGCTAAAGTTTTGTTTTGTTGACGAATAGTGTTCCTTAAGTATTGACTGTGTAGCTAGTATGTTGGGACTCTGCTGTTGGTATTTAACTCTGTTATGTTTGTGTCGATTACATTTTTTTGTTCTTCAGAATATAATCGTTAGAGCTGTTGCTTTTGTAATGTTTTATTCATGCTGTGCTCTTAAATGCTATTTGTTTTAATTTTCATTGTTTATAATGCTCCCCTTCGTTTTCTGCCCTCCTTTATCTGTAGTATAGGGGAGGGGGTGATGCACACTGCCTGTCTTGTTTATCTATTGCCTTATGTTTCACATGTATGGCACAGCTGCCCTGGGATTTTCCTCTCTAACATATGCTTTGCCATTATGCATGTTTTATGTTTTGTCTTTCTTTTTGGAGTGTGGGCTAGGAGTAAAGTTTGGGTTAAGCATTTTGTGTACTAGTCTTCCTGACATTAGTGGGAGTTACACTCCTGAACACCAAATATTTGTAGCTGCTGTCATTACTTTAACTCTGCAGAGGTGCTGAATTTATAAGGTGGCCCCTACTGCTTGTAAATTTACAGGCTTAGTCACTAAAATCTAAATGGCCCCATACTGAACTGGACAAAACTGCTGGTTGCCTATAGGACCATTTGATCTGCGAAATCCATACATTGCTCACATTAAAAATGTCCAGATCTTCAGTTCAGGCTGTGAATGAGCTTTGAACATGGTCTCTTTTTCAGCTGTACCAAAATCTTCAAATCCATTCCTGGATTTAAAAAAAAAAAAATTCTGGCTAGCTCAACCATTGATTGATTGATTAAGGGATAATTGTGCGCAGGCTGGTCACATAATTTTAAAAGTAAACCAACACTATGGAGTTTGGTCGGTAAGTCCCTGATCCTCTTGATTCCCCCCCCTCCACCCCCCATTAATTTGTTTAACTTTATTTTGTCTGGCAAGCTGCCACATAATTAATCCTTGCACTGCTAAATTATTTTTTTTAATATGGACACCAAATGCTTCCAGACGATTGCTGCAGGTTAGCTAGGCCCGACCAAATTCCTACTGTAATTGACTGTAGTCAACATGAGAATTGTTATCGCAGTAAGAATTTGGTAATTTTCACTGTTTTTGTCCATCTAGACAGAATCTGGTGTTTTAGTGAATAACTCAGAGGATCACTTTACACAGAGCTTCAGGAGCTTCTTTTGTTAATTGCAGTTTAGAAAAGTGCCAATTTTCATTTGGAATCTAGGAGACCAGGAGGTGTTTCTGCATTTTTCATGTTGGCCAGGGAGGTTCTTTCCAATTCTGTTGGCTTTACAGTAATGAACGTGGCAAGCATGCTCTAGCCTGCCCTCACCCCCAAGTCAGAATGTGCCTGTGAGCACACAAGCGTCCACAGGGCTCATTTTACCTGAGCATCCTTGGCTAATCTTTGTCCACCTAATGGTCTAATCCAATGCTCCTCCTAGAGTATAATTGGGGACTAAAAGTGCATGCCATTGTCATTGAGCTGAATTTTAGCCCAACTTTAACAAATTGGTTTACTCAATAAACTGAACATGCAAATTGTTGAACCTGGATTTCCAAGCTTGCATCAGTGTGTGTGTGTGTGTGTGTGTCCCCTTTTCAAGTTCAATGTTCAGGCTTAAATATATATATATAATTCTTTAACTGCGTGCTGCCAGATTGATCACACCGGTAAACTGGGATTCAATGAATTTAAAGAATTGTGGGGCTCTCTGAGTGCATGGAAACAACACTTCTGTACATTTGACCAGGACAGAAGCGGAACAGTGGAACCACATGAGTTCAGCCAAGCCATTATGGCAATGGGTAAGAAGCATTTAAAATGCCTAATACTGCTTTGCTCTTCGAATGTCATTGTGGGTTTTTTTTTTGTTTGTTTTTTTTTAACCCCTTCCCGACCGAGGACGGTTCAGGACCGTCATTGGCATTTTTGGCTTGCTGACCGATGGCGGTCCTGAACCGTCCTAACGGTTTCCGTTACTTACCTGATCGCCGTCGTTCCCCCGGCGGCGATCAGCGTGGCTCCGATTGTGGGGAGACTGCCTGCAGCCCAGACAGTCTCCCCACACTGAATTAGGACCCCTGTGGCCATGTGATCGCTTAACACAGCGATCACATGGTCACAATAGGTGTCCATAGTGCTGCCTGCAGGGGGACTGTCTGTGCTGACAGGCAGTCTCCCTGCTAGTGTAAAATCAAAAAATAAAATAAAGTTAATGTTAATAAAAAAAATAACTATATAGGTGTATATATGATAGACATATATTATATCTATATAATATATATATATATATATGTGTGTATCTATATATCATATATGTGTCTATATATCATATATGTCTATATATATATATTGCCATACTAAGTGTATTTTTATATTAATATGTACTTATATTAATATAAAAATACACTTATAATTAAATTACACGTGTGTGTGTATATATAATATATATAATAACTATATATATTGTGTGTGTGTATATATATATTATTATAAAATATAAATAAGTTAAATTAAATATTTTTTTTTTAAATAATAAATATTTTAAAAAAATTATATCTATATGAAATTTTATTCTAACTGTATTTTAAAATTAATATATATATTTATATCAAAATACACTTAGAATGAATTTGTATATATATCTATGTATATATAAATAAAAATAATACAAAATATACATATGTCCATATACAAAATTACATAAATAATTATATAAATATACACGTAGACTTCAAATATATAAATATGCATATATATTTAAATTCTACGTGCGTATTTATGTAATATTTTACATAATTAAGTAATTTTATTGATTGCAATTTGAGGGACCTGCCTGCCAACCCAGGCCAAAAGTCCAGAGAATTTAATTTGCTAGCACTGTATTTTACCCTGTAACGTTCTACGACACCCTAAAACCTGTACATGGGGGGTACTTTTTTACTCGGGAGACTTAGCTGAACACAAATATTAGTGATTCAAAACAGTAAAACATATCACAGCGATGATATTGTCAGTGAAAGTTACTTTTTTGCATTTTTCACACACAAACAGCACTTTTACTGATGATATAATTGTTGTGATACGTTTTCCAGTTTTTAAACACTAATATTTGTGTTCAGCGATGTCTCCCGAGTAAAACAGTACCCCCCATGTACAGGTTTTATAGCATTTTTGAAAGTTACAAGGTCAAATATATGGGTCAAATATTTTTACATTGAAAATGGCCAGGTTGGTTACGTTGCCTTTGAGAGCGTATGGTAGCCCAGGAATGAGAATTACCCCCATGATGGCATACCATTTGCAAAAGAAGACAACCCAAGGTATTGCAAATGGGGTATGTCCAGTCTTTTTAGTAACCACTTGGTCACAAACACTGGCCAAAATTAGCGTTCAATTTAGTTTTTTTACTTTTTTCACACACAAACAAATATGAATGCTTACTTTGGCCAGTGTTTTCGACTAAGTGGCTACTAAAAAAGACTGGACATACCCCATATTGAATACCCTGGGTTGTCTACTTTAAAAAAAATATGTACATGTGGGGTGTTATTCAGAGATTTATGACAGATAATAGTTACAATGTCACTATTGATAAATTTTAAAAATGTATGTTTTGAAACCGCAATATCCTACTTGTACCTATAGCCCTATAACATGCAAAAAAAAAGCACGTAAACACTGGGTATTTTTAAACTCAGGACAAAATTTTTAATCTATTTAGCAGTTTTTTTCATTCGCTTTTGTAGATGAGTAAAAGATTTTTCAAGTAAAAGTCAAAAAACATGTATTTTTTTTCAATTTTTCATCATATTTTTTTATTTTTTTTAAATTAAAATACATGAGATTATATAAATAATGGTATGTAAAGAAAGCCCCTTTTGTCCTGAAAAAAACAATATATAATTTGTATGGGAACAGTAAATGAGAAAGCGGAAAATTACAGCCAAACACAAACACCACAAAAGTGTAAAAATATGCCTGGTCGCAAATGTACAACATCGCAAAAACAGTCCAGTCCTTAAGGGGTTAAATGTTACCTACTTTAGAAATGGTGTGGGTGAAAGGAAAAATAGGAATTAAAAAGTTATTTATTTTTTAAAAGAATTGTCCTACTTACTGTAGACTTGTGAACTACAACCTTTCCTGATTTTGGGGGTGTTGGGTTTTTGGATACTGGTCTTTTCAGAAACTGAAATACATTAAGGTGGGTGACATTACCTGGGTTTTAAAAGGAAAAACAAAATGCAGTGATCTAAAATACCTTTTCAAAGGGTAACTGACACGTCTAAGGATTTTTAATGTTTGGTTTACATATCCCTATATTTAACAAATGTGTGAGGTGTAAACAATCCGGTACTGAGTGCCCACGTCTTAGCTCCCTGTCACTCAGTGTTATAAGCTCTGTCCTTTGCTCTTGGCAGTCCGCATAGAGGAACGCTTTGCCTGGTCCTGGAATATAAAATAACATGCTAATTTTTTTATTATTATTTTTTTTTATTAAACTCCTTTTCTAGGTTACAGAGTAAACCATCAGACCCTGAATGTTCTTCTAAAACGTTACAACAAGAACGGCAGAATATATTTTGATGACTACGTTGCATGCTGTGTGAAGTTGCGGGCTCTGTCAGGTAAGCAGAGTTTACATTGTGTATGTGTAGCTATTAAAATATACCCACATAAATTAATTACCCTATACCACTCTTTCATCTTTTTTTTGTCGTAGAAAATGCATGTCTGGTAGCCTTTTAAAAAAACTAAATTTTCTGATTATCTACATTGTACTTTTATTACTCTCTGTCCTGATGGTATTTAAAGAACCAGGAATGTCTGACCTGTAGATTAATATTTATATAAAATGTATCCTTTGAAGATTTCAAGTGATTATCTACCCTGGCCACTGCATCATTATCTTTGATAAAGAATTTGAGACAGAAATACATTGATAAATGGTGTATTGAAACCAAGGTTACTTTCTAGGTTACCTGGTGATTCTAATGAAAACATAGATACCAGAAATACATTAAAGGGACAATATAGTCACCCAAACAATTGCAGCTTATTGTATTTGTTCTGGTGAGTAGAATCATTCTCTTCAGGCTTTATGCAGTAAACACTGTCTTTTCAGAGAAAATGCACTGTCTACATTACAGCCTACGGATACCTCTACTGGCCACTCCTCAGATGGCTGCTAGAGGTGCTTTCTGTGTCAGTGAGTGTTTCCACTCTCTGCATGGAGACACTGCACTTTCTTCATAGAGATGCATTGATTGAATGCATCTATAAGAAGATATGCTGATTGGCGAGGGCTGTGTTTGGCTTGTGCTGGCTCTGCCCCTAGTCTGCCTCCTTGAGTCTTAGCCAATCCAATGTTTTTCTATGGGAAAGCATTGTGATTGCCTTTGAGCAATACTTCTAATGAGGTCATCCAAGCAGGCAGATCAGGAACAGAGCCAGCAGCAACAGACTGGAGTAAATGGTGTTTTTAACACTATAGGATCAGGAATACATGTTTGTGTTCCTGATCCTATAGTGTTCCTTTAAGAATGTGCACTAGCTTGGAGAGTAAAAAAGGGTTTAACTGGGTCACATTAGGACATTCACTTAACTACGCAAATCCATGTCAATTCCCAATTCAACCCATATTATGAATATGGTAGTCCTCTCTCCTTATTAAAATGAAAGGGATGCTATTACAGCTTAATGTAGTGGTTCTGATGTATATGGCATGTCCCTGCAGACTCAGCAATGGAAGCACTGCCTTTTCAGAGTAAAGGCAGTGTTTAGATTGCTGACTAGTATTACTTCTAGTGGCAGTCAGACGCTGAACGCTCCCCATAGAGATGCGTGTATTCAATACATCTCTGAGGAGATGCTGATTGGTGCAATTTGCCACGTATGTGCACTAGCCTTCCAATGCCTCAAGAGTGATCTCAACCATGGATGCGGGGCCAGCTGTGGTAATGGAGAAAAGGTAAGTAAGATACCTTTACACTCCATTCGGGGGAAGGGGAGGTGGAGATGAAACCTATAACATATAGTCCCTAACTATATTGTTAAAAAAGGGAACACATTCTCTTTAAAATATTCGGGAAATCAAAGAAGTCGAGAAACAAGGGCCAGACTTCGTAGGCAAAATAAAACATGATCGTAACTTGGATGTAAGCAAGGTACAACATTTTGTTTGATTTATCTTTTTTTGCCATTAACTTACAGATGTCTTCAGGCGAAGAGACAGCATGCAGCAAGGGTTTGTCAACTTTGTATATGATGATGTAAGTTTTCAATCAGAATTCTGTAATTTCTAATGTAACACTTTTGCAGTGAATGTTTAAGAACCATGGCAAAATAGAATGTAACTCTGGATCCTGCTATGCTGAGATGGCTTCAGTATTCTACACTGCATGCTATTAACCTCTCCATGCACAGCTCACACTTTTAAAACCCTTTCAGCTATTTGGCAATTGTCAAGAATTTAGTTGTTTTTAAATTGTTAGACCAAAATGGCTGAGCTAAAAATACAGTTGACATAGGGTCTAGGGGTATGATTCTCGCTTTGGGTGCGAGAGGTCCCGGGTTCAAATCCTGGACGAGCCCAAGCATTCTGTGTTTTTCGTTTAGAGGGACAAAGGTTTAAAAATATCAGGAAGTATTACTTTACTGAGAGGGTAGTGGATACATGGAATAGCCTTCCAGCTGAAGTGGTAGAGGTTAACACAGTAAAGGAGTTTAAGCATGCGTGGGATAGGCATAAGGCTATCCTAACTATAAGATAAGGCCAGGGACTAATGAAAGTATTTAGAAAATTGGGCAGACTAGATGGGCCGAATGGTTCTTATCTGCCGTCACATTCTATGTTTCTATAGACCATACAATATCAATTATTTTAAACACCCATTGTGCTGTGCACACTGATGCAATTCTTATAAGAGAACGCGCGTGAGCATGCCTGGACAGTCATTGTGTGAGAGTCCTCCTAGATTGCGTGTGTTTTATTTATTCTCCCTGTGACAATGGCATTGACTATTCTTATAAATCCTAATAGAATGTATTTTGCTTGAAGTTTTTGCAGTGCACCATGTCAATCTGAATTTTATGACTCCAATCCGATCGTGAAGAATGGCATTACAATCCAACATGTGAATTCTTCTGTTTGGAAGGAACCAAGTGACCCTCATGTGAATCAAGCTATTGTAGAACTTCATATTCCATTTTTTGTTACAAATCCGTTGGTATACATAAAACTTTTTTTTTTTTTTTTTTTTAAGTGCACAAGTTATTACATTTTAATAGTTATTTTGTATTTTTTTTATTTTTTTTTATATATAAATAGGCCAAATGAAGTTAATAAACCTGTCTTTACATATATGCGCCTAATGGATTTGTGCCACCTTATTTTGAAAGTGGGGGGGAGGAGGGGAATGCATGTTTAGTATAACTGGTGTATATTCTGATTATTGGGTGATTTCAAGCTGAAATGCTAGTAAGATTAATAAATGGACTCCCTGTTTGGTCTCCTATATTATTTCTCTAAACTTTCTAAAGTTTTTGTGCCTGCCATATTATCCGCTCAGGGGTTTGAGTTCATTTCCCCTAGTCATTTTGGATACACGAACTGTTTTTAATAAGCAAAACGTTGGCTCTTGTGTTCCTTTTCTCTACTTAGCCATATTGGTTTGCCAATTCTAATAATTTTACATGAACGTGTTAGGTCAAATTAATACACGCTGTTAATTAGTTAGAGGTGCTAATTAATCACTGGTGATTTTATTTAATTGTACTTGCAAATAATATGGAAAATACTAAAACATTAGAAGAATGTGTGCACTTGGGTGACGTTTTAAAGGACTTGCATTTAAATATACAGTGAAAAGAACCATATTTTTTTTTTTTTTTCTCCAATTTGACTTGTGTTTTGCTATATATTTTTTGCTTTCAAATGAACTTCATCTACATTTAATAATTAAAACTGATGTACCGCACCTATTTTGGAGGTTATATATGTTTTTGGTTTTTTTTTTAAAGTAAACTACACTTGCCGAGTTTGTAATAACGTACTTGTAACGTGCATCATCATCCTTTCAGTTTTGCGGAAATAGATACATGTCTGTTGCCATAACCATGACAATGTTCAGGCAAAAAATGTACTGGGTTTTCTTTCTACACAAGCAACACTGTTGTGATGGAATGTTTCTGGTCTTCCCACTAGATAAAGTATGTGTTTTCTGAACCGAATTTTAGAATTTTCATACTTTTTGCAGTGTATGTATCCTATTGGGTGGGCATACTAGATTTTCTTTTATTATTATTTTAAAGAATTTAGTGCTAAGTTCTGTAACGTATGGCTTAAATTATTTAAAATGTCGTTCTCACTCCTTTCTACAACAAAGCGAATGCAGTTATTGACTAAATAAATTATTCTACAGTCAATGTGAGTGAATATTTATTTTCAATATCTTGTGTTTTTTTTTACTTTTTTGCACATCCATGGTAAAGGCTGCTCACTTTAACAATACCATCAGAACTACAGTCCTGGAATAGAAAGGTCAGACCTTTCTCACTTTTATTCTAAATATCAAATACATGTGTCCTTTTTCGTGTTTGTATTTTTTGGTTGTCCCACTTTGTTTATAGTGATGTCCCGAACGGTTCGCCGCGGACTCATCATTGAGTAAACTTTGACCATGTACCTCACAGTCAGCAGACACATTCCAGCCAATCCGCAGCAGACCCTCTCACCTGGACAGCATCCATTTTACATTCATTGTGAAGCTGCATTCTTAGTGAGCTGTCTGGGAGGGAGGGTCTGCTGCTGATTGGCTGGAATGTGTCTGCTGACTGTGAGGTACAGGGTCAAAGTTTACTCAATGATGAGTCCGTGGCGAACCGTTCGGGACATCACTATTTATCAGTAATGTAGCTGTTTGCAATTGAATCACTCAGTTGTAATTTAAAAAAAAAAAAAAAAGTTGGCTAAGGGGTTTTATTTTGTTCAATCCTAGTTTAGAATATTAGAATTGTTTTATACATATTACCAATATACAAATTTTACATATCCACATGTAGACCCACATAGCTTGATCTTTGGCTTCGAACAGGGCTCGACATATCCCAGGCATCAGATCGCCATGGCTACTAGAATTTTAGACCTGGCGCCTGGGATTTGTTAGCCCACATAGCCTCTGAGGTGGTCGGCTGCCTATGAGTGGAGGTGGGTGGCCAACTGGCCGGCTCATGAAGAGCATGGGCGTGCAGTTGGCTGGCCGGCTAAAGAGAGCATTTGCGGTTGGTCGGTCAGCTGGCCAGCTGATTGAGAGCATGGGGTGTGTGCACAAGCTGGAGAATATTGAGGCAGATGGGAAGGCGCGAGGGATCTGTAACCTCCCTCCCTGCTCTGCTACCTTGCGCGTCCTCCAGTGATGCTGAGAGCCGGAATATGTCATTTGGACCCCAGCATCACTAAACAGCGCTCTTTGGAGTATGCAGGGAGATGACTGAAGCCCCACTGGACTCCAGGGAAAGCCGAACCACTCCAGCTCAGAGTAGGGAGGCTGGGTGGTCACCTTAATGTGTGTTGTTGTTGCAGTGTTTAGTGAGCAAGTGTGTGTGTGTGTAGGTCACTGGTGTCCCCCCCCCCCAAACACACACACACTGTGCTGGTCTCTCCGCAGCTGGCCCTGCCTCTATGACTGCGATCATCAATCTTGATTATCTCCGCTAATCCAATGCTTTCCCATAGGAAAGCATTGGGAGGCTATTGTGCATGTGTAGCAAAACGCCATGCTGCACCAATCCGCATCTCCTCAGAGGTGAATTGAATGAATGCATCTCTATGGGGAACATTCACCACCTCCATGCAGAGCATGGAGACCTTTAAAAGTAGGTGCTGTGTACTGTGCAGCACAGACCCAGGATGCACTCTAGAGGCCATCTGAGTGACTTTCAATAGAACTGACTCCTAACTGTTTTTGCTGGCTTCTAGATTCGAAGCAAATTTGTCAAGCCCTGGCTTAGAATTCTATCGCACAGTGTAGAGCAGTGATTGCTAACTTTGACACACTAAATTGTTTCTGGGCTACATTTAGCATGATGCTCAGCTAGCTTTTAGAACAGTGGTTCCCAACCTTTATTCACTTGAGTACCCCTTGGCATTCCATTTCCATAAATTGTACCCCTCATATTAGTGAAATGTTTGCTCTCACCAGGCTCTTCCCCTGTCTACATCTGTATGTGTATCATTGTCTGTGCAACTGTATGTGTATCAAACACTGCCACACATACAGATGTAAAGACACATTGTTACACACACCAACGCACATGCAGATCCATGCGCACACACATACATACAATCACACATACAGATACACAAACACTGACACAAATACAGATGCTCAGACATACAGACACATGCACTGACACACCTGCATAGATAGAGATGCAAAGGGACACATACATCTGCATAGACATACAGATACACAGGGGCACAATTACATGCAGATACAGACTTGGATTCAGACACCTACAGATTTAAGCACTCGCACAGACGTACACGTTCAGACATACATACACATCCAGGCTAACATTTTAGCCACCCTCCAGATCCTACTTTTTTGGAGCAGGAGGGTGACTTCCGTGGCTGGGGCTGTTGGGAGTTGGGTTTCTTGCTTCCTCTCCTGGTCCGGCTTCCCACATCGCTGGATGCCACCCCCTCCCTCCCGCGCGGCTTAGAGTAGGTTGGCGGCGAAGAAGTGACAGGCTCTCACTTCCTCCCAGCTCTTTAGGCGGCCTAGAGGGGGCCTGGTCGTGCAATTAAAGCGCCAATATGCACGACTGGGCTCCTCAAGGCAGATGTGCATCGGGTGGCTTTAAGTGCATGGGCCATCCAATGGACTGGCGTTTCCCAGCCTGTGCGGTGCAGCTGCCCGGAGAGGGCTGTCATTACCAATTTCTGTTTGTGTACCCCACGGGGCACTGAATTGGATCCCTGGGGGTACGCATACCACAGGTTGGGAACCACTGTTTTAGACTCTAAAAGCTAGCTGAGCATAATGTGAAATGAATTCAAGGTTAGTCACTGGTGTAGAGCAACAAATGTGCCTTGGTTTTATTCTCCGCAAGGAGATTTTAAATACCAGCCCATGTCTTCCCTCCACCCATTCACTAAGCAGGTTCGAATTATGGTTTATGAATGCATGATCACAATAAGGGAAGAGGTGGGGCTCAGATGTCAAGACCATGAGTTATTAGTATTCTGATGTAAATGTTTACAACGTTTGTAGTACTATAGTGTAAATTCTACCTATTGTTTGCAGGCTTTATGCCCACATGGTCTTCTTATAAAGTTGCATTGTGAAATGTGCCATCAAGTAAAACTACCTAGAACCATGAGCCTGTTTTGGGCATTTTTTTTTTTTTTGGTTTTTTCTCCTCTCCTTCCACTTACTACTCTATAGTATCAAACCACCTCTCCAGTATTTCCATAAAGAAGAAAGCATTTTAATGGTTTACAGTTGCCTAATTAGAATTGTGTATCAACGTAGATCTTGATGCAGAATGCAAATATTGTACATTTGTGCTGTGCAAACCAGGTTTCAAATAACAGAATAGTAATATTCGTAAAACGCGGTGAAGGGATAAGACGTGGAGTTGTATATAAATATACATAGCTCAAGAGTGTGCCCACTGCGTGATTTATTTACATGTTTTACTTCTCCTACTTGAACCATTATATTACTTGTCAATAGAATATTATAAATCGCTGGTAACTTCTAACCTGTTAAAACTTGCAATTGTCCTCATGATTCTGTAATTGTGGCACATCTAGAGCACAAATTACATTGAATGAAACCAAAGCATTGCTTCAGTCTGTCAGTGTCTCTATTCTGGCTGGAAGGTTTAAAGAGCAGAACTTTTAGTGTTTTACAGCCAAGTTGTAAGTCATCACTTCCTGGATAAAGGTAAATACAGGTGTGTGTGTGTGTGTGGGGAATTCTACATTTAATTTATTTTTTAGTCTTGCAAACGTACTTGTTAAGGTGAGGCTGTCACTATTCAACTTTAGCTAGAAAGGTGTTTTGTGCATATATGATAAAGATAGATATATATTTATGTTTGAAACTGTTTAACTCTAGCACCACAATTCCTGGAGAGCCTGTAGGTGTCACACTTCTTTTTTTTTTTTTTTTTCTTCCCTCTTTCTTTCTTAAAACCACTCACTGCCTTCGAACCTTTACAGGTAACAATAGATCCTTTCTGAGAGACTGTCTGCTTCAATGCTAGCGTATCAATGACAGAATGTCCCAAATGCCCACTCCTACAAGCACAAGAGATTATCACAGTGACAAAAAAAAAAAAAAGCTACCTGGGAGAGAGTGGATGCTCTGCTGGTATTTTCCATGAACTAACTTGCTAAACTCACACTCTTTCCATATGGTCATTCTCAACCAATGTGCCTAATGTTAGACATTTCAGTACTAAGCGGTAAGAATCAAAGAACTGAAGTGTCATCTGTTGAGAGGCTGATCTTCACCAATTTTATGTCCTAAAGGGCCCCAAATAGCTGTTCCCTCTGCATCCCCACCTACTCTCTACCTTTCCCTGACACAAAATGTTGCGTGATGTGATGCTAGATGTAAAGAGGGAGCTCATCACGTATTAAAGTAAGGAGATCTTTTAGTCAGGGGGCAAAAAAACTTGTACATTATCACAGATTTCATGCTTCTGTTTTTTCTTTCAAGCTTTACCATGGAGGAGTGAATTCTGGAAGAGGTTATCTTCTACACCCAAATACCCAGAGGTGGGGTTGGTGGCTCTGGTCCAAGTGCATGAATTTCTGTTGAGTTTTATTCACTAAAGGGGTACATTTCATTCAGCTAATTCTGCACTATATTTTATTTGTTACAGATTCATCTGTATTGAACTGGCAATATTTCTGTATAAGAGAACAAGTATATGTAAATATGGTTTAATATTGCACAATACTTTATTTTCATGGGTGTATGTGCACATTTTATGTGTAGTGTATGCATCTGATTTAGATCAACTATTTATTCATTGAGTACACAATTTTATAAACACTTTGTGGTGGCTTATTTAGAGCTACACTATTTTATTTTTATGCTTTAATCCCTCTGTGATCGCAGATATACACTGTACATCAAATGTAAATTATATCAGTTTTTCTGTGCCTTTTGAACGTGGGTCTTGCGAACGAGTTAAAGGGTACCTGTCATGACACATGCAACTTGATAGGGAATCAAAATTCATCTCTACATTGTTCTACTTAAATTGCTAGTAAAATCATATTTAAAAAAAAACAACCTTTTCACCCTCATGTCAGTCAATTATGCATGTGCCAATCGGCACAGAGATAAGAAGAGGCAGTGCTTTGCATGTCTATCACTAGTGAAACGCTCAGCAGCATGGAGAGCGCACCTGAATGATTTATAGCAGCAGCTTTGGTCGGGCACTCTGAGCATGGAACATAAAGCGTTGTGGGAAACATGTCTGTGCTTACCAAACGTGTATGCTGGAGAGTTGTGTCTTACAGCAAGTGTAACACCTACTGAAACATGATTGGTGTTCTCAAGAGACTGGGGTAAACTCAAATATTAGCTTTTCATAGTATAAACAATTGTATAGCATAACTCAGGCCAGATGATTAGAAAACTACAAACTATTATCTGTCATGAAAGGTTCACTTGAAGGTGTGTCTTGCTTGACTCTTCCACGCATCACTAGTTATGTAGAAATTAGTATAAGGAAAATGGTGTACCATTTTTTTTTTCCAGTTTTTTACATTTTGTAGTATTTTATTAATTGTAGGCCTTGTGTGTATCTCTCCGAGTTATAGTATTTTTGTATAGTTGAGCCACAGTAAGCCTATATGCAGATAAATTTTCCACCCCTGGGTTGTGACTGGCATTTTGCTGTCTTTATACTCCACACAGGGCCAACGCTTCCTATAGGGCCAACTGCTGGTTTGGGCCACCCCTCTAGGTACTGTGATACCTTTTGGATTGTGTTCTTGGAATTTCCTAAGGGACTGATGGTCCCTTCCACGGTGCTCCAGGAGTGGTAGCGGCCACTGTTTGGATTCCTGAGTTCAATGTTACCTTTGGAATTGGATGTTTTGCAGAATGCTACACCATAAGCCTGCCTCCTTAGCCATGTCCCTCGTGCCAGAAAGACATCCTTATCAGTGATATGCACACAGTCTCAGCCCCAACAGCACTGTCTGAGCGGTTTTTACTTCACAACCTGGCTGCAGACAGTCAGAGAAACTACAAACCAGTAGTGATATCCTTACTATATGTCTCCCTGGGTGCCCTGTTCTCCTTATGCAGGGTGTAGTTCAGATCATTCAATGCTGTCAGTGGCTGAGTTGTGTGCATACATTTGATAGTATTTTTTCAGGACTGAGGGGGTATGACTAAGGAGGCAGACTTATGGTGCAGCATTATGCCAAACCTTTATTTTATGTAAAAATTAAAAAGGATTTGAGCATGCAAAAGTATTAATGAGGTCAAAACTTCATGCCCCCATTAGCTGTGGCATTAGACACCACGATTGCACAAAATTTCTATTGGCCATCGGAATTCTTATTCTGGGTTGGCTAATGACAGTCCTTAATTACAACTCCCCTATTTGCTAGCTTTAGGTGGAATTACCATATATAAGGACACAAATACAGGAACTATCTGTTAAAATGCACCCTCATTTGGTATCCTTTTATATGGAAATCCCACATAAGATCAGCTGTAGTTATCTACTAAACAGCTGAAATATTAAAAATAAGAGCCCATTTCTTAATTTTGAGCTTCAAAATGTTGTTCAGTGGATAACTCCCTTATGTGGGATTTACATATTTAAAGGGACTCTCCAGTGCCAGGGAAACATAGCATGCTCCTGCAGTGCCCCTCTCCCTCCCACCCCCATCCCATGATGCTGAAGGGGTTAAAACCCCTTCAGTGACTTACCAGAATCCAGCACCGATGTCCCTCGGCGCTGGGTCAGGCTCCGCCCATGCTCCTCCCTCGCTGGCGGGAGAGACCTAATGCACATGCGCGGCAATGGATACTAAATAAGGGAGCTATCTACTAAACACATACATTTTCATGCACACACATAATCAGACATGCACACAAGCACAGACATCAATTCAATCATATAGGCAATCATAGACACATTCATACACACACACACATATTTTTAAATGTATTAAAAGGTTTACCCAGCATCCCTACCTTTCTCTGAGAAGATTGGAGTGGATCCTCTCCCTGGTGGCCAGTGGTTGATGCTGGGATCACTGTGCTTTTCCTGCAGAGGTCCTCGCTTGTGCTGCTGATGCTGGGATGATGTCATGTGCTGGCATGCTGCAGGCAATGCAAGAGAGCTGTGCAGCAAGAGTGTAGATCCTTCTCTGCCAGTTCTCCCCAACCCCAATCGATATATATTTGGGCTGAGTAGGCACCTTCTGTGTGAGGAAGCAGGTGCTTACTCTGCTAGGCACAATAAGAAGTGGGATCCCCCCCAAACACTGGTGCTATTGGCCAAGGGGACATAAGGGCCAATGAATAATCTACGGGGTATTTTCCCCCTTATAGCGCAAAGCTACAGGTTCACAGGAACCAAGTTCTGTCTCCACCCAATACACATGCAAACAAGAAAGAAATGTTCCAGTTAAATGACACTGTGCTGAAATAGATGTGCAGGGGTGGTAGGCTGAGAGCGATGGGATTGGGGATGCGAGATAGGGTTAGGTGATAAATAAATGTTTTAGAGATATTAACAGCGTCAAATTGCCCATTAATCACGTCAGGCCTGGGCAATTTAACATTTGAGCAAAAAAAAGGTCTTGTTTTGGGGACTATAAATGACTGACTTTTTCTCCAAACTGTCTATTTCTTTTCAATAAGCTCTTCATTTCTGTTTCTGTTTTGGCTCATCTTGAAAAATGAATTGCTACTAACTTTTAGGACTTCCCTGCTAATGGAAGGCAATAGTTTCTCACATGGAACTGACATCTCCAGTTCTATATCAACAATAACCCATATGCACCCCAGTATTGTGCAAGGACAAAGAAATAAATAATACAATGTTTTGGCCATGAGACCTTAATCATGTATGAATAGCATAACAAACAAGAGGGGGCCCATATATATATATTTCTTTCCTTCGAGTTCCTCTCATCCCACCATAAAATATCTTTAGCCCCCTTAGAACACCTTACTGTCAGGATGTTAAATGTGGATCTCTCGGTCTGACTTTGTAAGTCCATGCATCTTTAGATAATTCCATATCCAGTGTTTGTTCAAATAAACCAAAAAACATTTTGTATTTGTAAACTACATTTTTTTTATTCTCATAATAATGCATATAGTTTTTTCTCTTTGTCTAATTACTAAATCAGTATGCAAATATTTTACAGTGAAGTATACATTTCCATATTTACACTTCATATTTGTAAAATGTTCTAAAATGTATATTGCAAGCAGTATAGAAATCCATGATTTTCTTTCTTTCTTCTAACAGAGAAATATTTATAGAGTGTACATTCACTAATGCTAGCTACTTACATATGTACATACAGTAATATTATATACTTGGAAAATCAAGTGCATGCCATAAGTACCCAAATAGGAACTGTCCCAGATTTTGAGTATTTTAACTTACAAAATGTTAATGCAATACATGTAAATCACCTGTAATTTCTAATCATGCTTACATAGCAATGGTGATTCTTTTCAAAGCCATGGTTTGTCATGAAAAAAACACTTGAATGCTGTATCTTATGAATAGAATGGTTATGAGGTTTATATTCATTGCAATTTCCTATAAAAGTTTAACAATTTATACGAAAAGTGTGCAAAACATAGGTAAAGATTTAACAAGGGTTGAAACTGTTGTACAGAAAATTAAAAATTATATAAAAAGTTTAAAATAAATAACATAAATTATAATTTATTATAACAAAAATACATAACTTTTAGAAGTGGTAGCTTATTGTCCCAACATAATTGTGCAACAACATAAATGTGCATTTGAAAGCAAAAAAAATAAATAAATAAAAAATATATATATATTTTTTTATTTTTTTTTGCGATGTTCAAAAACTTGTCTACAGATGTTTAATTTCAAATTTGCTGGAACATGACATGCCTTGTTTTTTTTTTTTAAATCTGCGGTTAAGGTCCAACTTTTTTGAGTAGGTACCTGAAACATTTTAGATAACTAACAGTTACAATGACAAATTAGTTTTTTTTTTTTTTTTAAAGAAAAAGAGACATGTTGACATATTTTATAAAACTGTCATAAAAACAGAACTCGGAACCCCATGCCAATCAATTTTCATAGTATACCATTGATTCAATCTGCGAGGAGGCCAAATAAAAAATAAATAAATTTGAATTTGATGTAAAATATATTAAACACATATACTTCAATTAGCAAGTAGCTACATAGGATCATTGTGGTTGGCTGATAAAATATCATAGACTTTAATGATCACTTAATTTAAAAGGGTTGCGCCAATCATCATGACCACTTCAGTGACTTGAAGTGGCCATGGTGGTAGGAGTCCATATGCGTAGTGTTTCTGCTTGAAATACTGCACATATTGAGATATTTGAATTTGTGTGCTGGAGCTGTTGCTTCCACCGGACACGTGACATTGGCATCCTAGAACTCTGTTCCTGGCTGCCTAATGTCAGTTCTGTGCCTAGATTACGTCTGTTGTCTGCGTGCACTGCTCTCTGACAACAGACATGAAAATCTTCCCTTTGGATGCAGATCGCCTGCAAGCTAGCCCTCCCGCCTCCCTCCATCACACTTTTTTTTTTCCTCCCTCCCCTTTCCTTGCTATCCCAAGACTCGCACATGCGCTCTGAGCTGGCAAAATGGTCCATTGCAGGATTTTCTATAAGAAGAACAGTGCCAGAGTTTTCCCTGCCACTGGATTTCAGGTAAGTAAAATCCAAAAGGGCATGACACCGGGAAGGTCCCCTCTTTCAAAAGGGCTATAGTAACCTTTTACATTTTTAGGCGTATGATGCTTCTTCAATGTTACCCTTAAAAAGGGCTTTTCAAGCTGAAATGTTGGGTGTTACTGAAACACCTCGCACACAGCCTGTTTATAGAAGGAGGTAAAACCCTTTGTACAGTAGTTTTCTTTATTATTTTTTTAGTCACTGATATTACATTTTGCATCTCATATATATACTGTAATGATACATTTGCAACCGACTGCTTCTGTATCTGACTTCATTAATTAAACCATAAGACTCTTCTATTTCATAAGTTAATGTAATTGTATATTTGCTTGATTGTAATAAAATGTATTTTCAAATAGTGCTTCATAATTGTAACTAGTAACAAACAATCAAGGAGCTGGATTCTGTAATGAGGGATAAGCACATCTTTGGGAACAGAATAAAAATATCCCCATAGATGTCAATGGGAGAACAGTTGTTTTGGTTATCACAGTTACCTGTATGACGTGTGATACAATACAGCCAAATGTGTAATGCACATTATTTTATACTCATGATTCTTAAAATAAAAAAATAAAATTCATCATAATACCACAAGACTGCCAGTCAGCGCATGAAGTGTGAGTTACCTGTGGAATTTACAGAGATGTATTCACTATAAATAGATCTCTGGGTTTTTAAATCTAAACTTTTAATCTACAGTGGCAAGAAAAAGGATGTGAGCCCTTTGGAATTGGTTGTTTTTTTCTGCAAGAATTGTTCATAAAATATAATCTCCTCTTCATCAAAGTCACAGCTAAAAACAAACACAATGTACTTTCGCTAACAACACACAAATAAAATTTTTCATGTCTTTATTGAAAACATAGTATTAAACCAGGGGTGCCCAAAAGGTAGATCCCCAGATGTTTTAAACCTACAGCCTTCATGATGCTTTGTCATGCTAACTGTATTCTAAAGGCATACAGAGCATCATGTGAGTTGTAGTTCTACTTATTGAGCACCCCTGTATTAAACATTCACAGTGTTGTGAAAAAAAAAAAGTAAGTGAACACTTGGATTTAATAGTTAGTTGATCTTCCTTTGGCAGCAATAACCTTAACCAAGCATTCTCGGTAGCTGTAGATTAGATATTGAAATTTTGTACCACTCTTCCTCACAGAACTGCTTCAGCTCAGCCATATTCTTAGGATGTCAGGTGTGAACAGCTCTCTTGAGGTCACTACCCACAATATCTCTGTGATAAAGGTCCTGGCTCTGATTGGGCCACTCCAAAAGGTGGATATTCTGTTTTTGAAGCCTTTCTGTAGTGCATCGACTTCAATGTTTTAGAATCATATTCCTGCTGCATCACCCAACTTCTACTGAGTGTCAGCTGATGCGTATCCACCTTGATATTATCCTGTAGGATATCTTTAAAAAGTTGGGAATTCATTTTTCACTCGATGATGATGGTAGGTGATCCAGACCCAAAGCAGCAAATCAGTCCAAAATCATGATGCACCCTCAACCATGTTTAACCATTGAGACGATGTTTTAATGTTGGTATGCAGAGCTCATTGTATGCCATACTGCATGTTCTCATTGTATGCCATACTGCATGTTCTTCCCAAGCAACTTAACCTTAGTTTCACCAGTCCACAAAACATTTTCCCAGTCGTGTTGTGGATTGTCAAGGTGGTCTTCGACAAACTTCAGGCACACAGCAATGTTCTTTTTTGTTTTGTTTTAAAGGATCTGTTATCCTCGTGGTGTCCTGCCATGTACACCATGCCCGTTCAATGCTTTCTGTATAGTAGACTCATGAACAGAGATGTTAACCACTTCTAATAGTTTCTTTAAGTCTTCCGCTGTCACTCTATATTGTTAATTTTTTACCTCAACGAGAATTGTGCGGTGTGCTTCTAAGGAGAGTTGGCACAGTACTAAATTATCTAACAGTGGACAGATGAATATCTAAACTCTGTGATAACTTTACAACCCTTTCCATCTTCTCGATCGCAGGTCTTCTGAGAGCTCTTGTTTTTCCAAGGCATGGTTTACATCAACAGATAGTTTTTGTGAATAGCTTTAAAGTACCTCTAACCCCCAACTCCAATCTTAATTCATTAGTCTGACCCCAGGTTTACTAATTTCTAACTCAAACTAGCTTTTGTTGAAGGGGTTCACATACTTTTTTCCATCCTAAACTGGGAATATTTGAATGATATGTTCAATATGTACAAGAACAATACCATTATTTGTTGTGTTACTAGTAAAAACAGATTGTGTTTGATTAAAGTAACTTATACGAGCATTAAACAAGATTTTAAGAGACATGTGAACATCCATACAGTCATCTCTAAGGGGTAAACATACTTTTTCTTAGTATACTTTCTTTCTTTGTATACTTATTTTCTATAAAATTTGTAAAGTCCATCTATATCTCTCAGCACACATCCTGCACGACCGAGTGTTTCCTCTGCATGTCAGATCATATAAAGTTGAGGAACATTTCCAGCCGCGCTGGGAAAAATATTTTCCAGGACAACAAGGAAGGAGTTATATAATTATTGTCAATACAAAGCTGTCACCCACCCACATAAAAAAAGACTGTATAATAATGAATGTATAATTGTGTGTAATCTTCATTATTGTAATATATGTTTTAAAGTAATATAATATCCTTTAATTTGTTCCCCTACCCCAAAAATAAAACCATCAACTGCCAGTGCCATAGCTTAGCCAATGTCGTAAAACCATGCATTTAAAATGTATTCTATGATAAATGTATCAAGATATATAACGGAACTGAGTTTTGCTTTTGAAGAACAAATAATACCTGCCTAACCAAGTCCACTTCAACCAACTTTACTACTGTTTCAATGTTTCCTTAGAATTGTAAGTACCAGAATCCCTGGAAGTATCTCCTTCACTCTAGGGCAGTTGAAGGTAATAGAATGTTGCATTAGGCAGCTGGATACATACATCATTATACCCAAATCTGTATACAAATCACTCCCTACAATCATATGAGATACTCTTGGGGATTTATTGTACATCGACACGCATCCAGAAAGATTGACAAATTAGAAGCTTTACTTCCTGCTGTAGAATAATCAGATTTCATTTGTATTATAGCACTAAGGCACTGTGGTAAATGTATTATACATTATACAGTGAATCTCAGATTAATGATAGATAGATAGACAGATAGATCGATCAAGTCTGTGTGTATGTATATATATATATATATATATATATATATGTCACCTATAAGTTATGATTTTGATCATGTGTCATGCATATAGGATATATATATATATAAACATATGGCTGGGAGGAGGTGATCTGTAAAAGATAGCATAACTGTATTTATTTATACATGTCGTACAATATAACACCTATGCTATATTTTACAAACTGCTTTTAATGGTCAGACCTTTAAATAACAGTAGTTTGCTCAAATATCTTGCACTTAAATGGATCAATGTGAATAATTATTTAAAATGGATAAAAAGCAGTGAACACAGATGGCAACAAAACACATCGCACAAGACATGCAAAGCTTTGCAGTGTGTAAAAGTAAATATACCTCTGAATGCATTCATTAACTGTATTCATTTATGAATTTAATTGTTTTAAATTATTTTACAACAGATGAAATACGTTTGGAAAGTGTACTGTTTTTAAACAAATTTAAGTTCAGGAGGCTCAGCATTGTTTCAGCCAGGGATATACAAATATAATAAATTCAATAACTCGTATTTCAGTTGTGATTATAAATTAACTTTTTTATATTCTACTATTACACGCTGCATATTCTTTGCTACTAAACACATTCAACGTCTGGGGTTAAAATATATATTATTAATAATTTTTTTTTTTGAATGTGTTTATTAATGAAGTGGATTTTTGTAAGACGACAATATATTCTATTCTGAGTTCAGAATCAAAATAAATGTGCACAGTAGTAATGTTTTTGATTTTTGTTGCAGTAAAGGGAATGAGGCAATCACAATCATCTGCCAGGAGGCACAAAACATTCAAATGGACTGGAACATATTGAATCCCTGATTAGCATAATAATGATCTAATTTAATGTTTTTATTATTATTTCTTAATAGCTTTAATGTACATGTTTGAAGATTTCTAATGCGCTATCTCAGTCTCCATAATGTGATCTGAACACGTTAATAACTTTATTAGCATACTAATTAGTTAGGGAAGAAAGGTTAGGCTTGCAAAGGGTGCAAACAAGAGATCTGCAGGTTTTGAAAGCTTGTTTTTAAAAAAAATACTACCAATGAAAAAAATGCACAATTAAATGCCTGCATTTTTTCTTTCGAGTATATCTTCTAAACAATGATTTTTTTTATTTTATTTTATTTTATTTGGGCAGTGGAGTGTCCCTTTAAATAACGGAAACTCATTCATGGATACATTATTGAATTCATAACAGTTCCTTTAAGACTGATATGAGATTACTGTCTCAAATGTACTGGCTTTATTCATTTCAAACAGAAATTCAGCAAGGGAAATCATGTTTTTGAACATATTAAATGACACCTTAGCAAATTTAAACCTATTTAGTTTAGAAAAACGTCTCCTGAGAGGGGCTATGATAACATTATACAAATATATTTGGGGCCAATACAAACCATTGTGTGGAAATCTAGTCACAAACCGGACTTTACATAGGACACGAGGTCATGCGTTTAGACTGGAAGAAAGAAGATTTTGTCTAAGGCAAAGGAAAGGTTTTTTTACTGTCAAAACAATAAGGATGTGGAATTCTCCGCCTGAAGAAGTGGTTTTATCAGAGACCACACAGATGTTCATACAGCTACTAGATGCATACTTGCAAAAACAGAATATTCAAGGATATAATCTTTCAATGTAGGGTAATAACTGCTTGATCCAAGGATAAATCTGACTGCCATTATGGGGTCAAGAAGGACTTTTTTCCTAGCTTGTTGCAAAATTGGAAGTGCTTCAAACTGGGGGGGGGGGTTGCCTTCTTTTGGATCAACAGCAAAAAACAAATGTGAGGAAGGCTGAACTTGATGGACGCAAGTCTCTTTTTAGCTATGTAACTATGTAAACTTAATGTCACAAATGGTACATGCACCAACTAGAAAGGAAGTTTGTCTGGATCTGGTTATAACAAATAATGTTGATCTTTTGACCAACATTTAAGTATGTGAGCATTAGGGAAATAGCGATCACAATATGGTGTCTTTTGAAATAACCCAGCAAAAACACAAGGGGTATACTAAAATATATAATATTAAAAAGGGCAATTTCAGTAAGATAAGGGCAGCTTTACAATATATTGACTAGTATAAACTCTTTAGTGAAATTAAAAAAAACCCTGAGGATAAATGAAATATCTTTAAACAAATATTAGAAAAATATATTTCTCAGTATATACCATTGGGTAATAAATATAAAATAAACAAACTGAAACCAATGTGGCTTTGGGGAAAATAAACCAAACAATTAAAAACAAGAAAGGGACATTTGAAGCATTTAAATTGGACAAATCGAAGGGATCCTATATAAGATATAAGAAAGCCAATAATGCATGAAAAGAGGCCATTAGAGTGGCTAAACTAGAAAGTGAGAAAGTGATAGCCAAAGAGAACAAAACCACCCCCATACGTTTAAATTCATAACTTAAAGCTTTTAAGTACATACATTCTAAAAAACAAAAAAATGAAAGTGTTAGGTACACTGAAAACAGAGAAGGGTGTGTTAGTTAATGAAGTCTAGAAAAATGCAGACATTTTAAATAGCTATTTTTCCTTAATATATATTAAAGAGGATCCTATGGCATGAGATATGTAAATGATTGCTGCATAAAAATTGCAGGGAAATTGTGATTGGATGACTCAAGACAAGGTGCTGCAGCAACTAAAGAAAGTTAACGTAAACAAAGCTCCAGGGCCTGCTGGTATTCACCTATGAGTACTTAAGGAGCTAAGTGGGAAAATAAGTGAACCTCTTTCTTTCAGGGATGTACCGGAGGAATGGAGGAAGATGTTGTTCCTATCAAAAAGGGTACAAAATCCTTGCCTGGAAATTGTAGACCTTGGAGCCTAACTTCTGTGGCTGGGAAAGTATTCGAAGACTTAATAATGGATAATATTCAGGAATTAATTGGAAAGAACATTGTTATTAGCAATAATCAGTATGATTTTGTGCAACATAGGTCATAGGATTTTACCAAGGTGTTTGATATAGGTTAGTGTTAAACTAGCAGAAATTGGTCTAGATGAAAATTCTCATACTTGGGTTGAACATTGACTTAAAGATAGAGCACAGAGAGCTGTCGTTAGTGGGAAATTAATCAAGCGGGACAAAAGTGTTAAGTGGTGTCCATTGGGGTTCTGTTCTGGGACTACTTCTATTTAGCATATTTATAAAGGTTCTGGACATAGGTTTTGAAAGTAATTTTTCAGTGTTTGTTGATGACTCAAATCTCTCTAAAGTAATACAATGTGAGCAGGATATTGCATCACTAGAGAGGGATTTAGGAAGATTGGGCACTGGGCACTCAAATACAGATGGAATGGAATGCATAAAAAAAGCAAAGTTATGCACTTTGGGGTAAAGAATGCATAATCAACACATACCCTAAATGGTCACGAATTAGGGATAACAACACTCGAGAAGGATTTGGGAATTGTTATAGACAACAAACTAGGCAACAATTTGCAATGTCAATTAGCAGTTGCTAAGATCTGTAACATACTGTCATGAATAAATAGGGGTATTAATTCTCATATAGAAAATATAATTTTGCCTCTTAATAAATCACTGGTAAGACCACACCTTGAATATGCAGGCAGGCTACAAAATTAAGAAAAGGAATGGAACATTTTAGTCATGAAGAAAGGTTTGGAAAAACAGTTCCTCAGAGGGGATATGATAGCATTATACAAATATATTTGGGGCCAATACAAACCATTGTCTGGACATTTATTAAAAAAAAAACACGACTATACATAGGATTCAAGGTCACAAGGAAAGGGTTTTTAACAGTAAGAGCAATAAGAATGTGACATTATCTGCCCGAAGAGGTGGTTTTATCAGAGTCTATATAAATGTTTGAACAGCAATCGGATGAATACTTGCAAAAACATAATATTCAGGATTATAATTTTTAATTAGTGGGTTAATACCTTTTTTGATCCAAGGAGAGATCTGACTGCTATTCTTTGGTCAAGAAGGAATTTTTCCTAGTTTGTTTCAAAATTGGAAGCTCTTTGAACTGAGGTTTTGCCTTCTTTTGGATCAACAGTAAAAACAGATGTGAGAAAGGCTGAACTTGCATTTCTCTTTTCAGCTATGTAACTATGTAACTTTGCTGTGCTGACAGATTAGATCATTTACTGGATTTGACTATGGACTTTTAATTGAAGAATTTTTCAAGCAGGTGCATTCATATCCAGAATATGAATTTCCAGTGTGCATAGCAGTTGTTAATGTGAGTTATGTTGTTAATGTGAGTTAGAGTGTGTGCATTCAGCATTTTTTGGGACATCTAACAAGTTTATTCACAAAAGTGAGAAATTAAATAACCCTGTAAGTATTTCTAATATACCTGGTTCAGTCTGCTCTGGGAGATTTGTCTTTCAGGGTTATTTGCTAAAGTGGGAATTGTTGGATATTTGAAGTAAATTTTAAATTTAAGGCCCAAGTAATCAAACTAGAAGCATAGCTCACTTGCATAATTTTTCCAATTTGGCTACTTTCACCTTAAAGCTGAAATTCACTTTGAATTCCCAACAATTCTCACTTTAGTGAATAACTCTGTGTGTAAGAAGATACCACGGGTGTTAAAATACCAACGTATATTTTGGAAGATTCCACGGGTGTTTAAATATCAACGTATCGATTTTGGAACTTCACTGACATGATTATTCACTTGTGTGGCAAATGCAGTGCACGCAGTTACTGACAATGAGCAGAGCTGCTGATGTCACGGAATGTATGGAACCAGCATGGGACTTCCTTTGAAATGTAGACAAAAGGGATATAGAGGTGAGACAGAGTGAAAGCAAAGTACAGTAATGTTAGCGAACTGGAGTTTATATTTATCTGATGATAAAACAGAGGGATGGACGCTATTCACTAAATGGAGAACTGTGGAGATTTGACATTTAGCAGAACTTGAAAAATGCTCAAACACATCTGTGTTATCTAGCATTGCTATTTCGTCCTCATTTGTAATTCTCACCTCTCCACAATTGCCAGTTTAGTGAATAAGCCAGCATAGCATGGTTTGTTTACAAACTCTGACTCTTCGCTAAAAAGGTGAAAAGGCATTGCCTATGTCTCAGCTTATTTACTTTCCAATGAGAGACCGGCAAGCCATCCGGCTTTATCATACATTTCCTAAATTTTCATTGTGGTGTCATTTTAGCTTTCGTAGATCAGAAGCACTCAAGCGTGACAAAATTAACATAATTTACCAGTGCAGAAATCATTTAAAGGGATACTATGGATATCTCCTAAATTGTCACTCAGACAGCTGAAACACATGCATGTAACGGTACTTGATTTTGTACTATCCAACCATGGGTTTGCTATCATTTGATCCAGTCTTGGCCATGCTATTATTTGATTCTGGATAGCCAAATACTCTTATCTGCCATTTCTCTTATTTTATTAAATTGATTTTTCCTTATCACATCTAAAATCACACAATGAATGCACATGAGAGACTTGCAGCAGTGTTATATGTACTATTAAGTCTTAAGTCAAATTACTGGTCTGTGTATAAAAACAAAAAAGCCTACCAAAATAAATATGGTTTCTGAACAAACCTTCATTACATTCTATATAGAGAGCTATAGCTTTAAATTTTGTTTTTAAATGGCTTCTATTATGTTTACAAAAGTTATGCTGCTATGCCTCTAGTGAGACATCCACCAGTTCTTTGATAATAAAGTCAATACATGAGTGATGACAGTAAGGTATTTGAACAGCTGTATACGGAGAGAAAACACAGAGAGTATAACAAACTAACATAATGAAACTAACCACAATACGCACACACAGAATCATAGCATATAGTATGTAGTTGCATGCAGGGTACATTTATATACATGCATAGTATATGTAAGGGGTATACCCCTAAAGTCTAGACACACTTTGAATCAGGGCTGCATTGTTCTCTGTGTCTACTATTTAATCCTCTGTCTGCAATTCTGGGTAACATGTTATCTATGTTATCTAGTTACCTAGTGGAAGTTAAAATTGTAATAAGTGATTAGTTAGACCAAATATTTGTATAGATCTGTTTTTGTATATTTATTAAACCAAATATTTGGTATGTTTCATCTTATTCTTTTCGTTAAGTAACCTGGCCTGGGAAAAAAGACTTAGGGCCCGCTATAAGGTAGGAGGAGAGATGGAGAATCTATGAGACAGTTTATAACAGTGGGTTCCAAACCAGTCCTCAAGGTACACCTACCTGTTCAGGATTTAGGGATTACCCAGTTGTGTCTAAGGTGTTTTTAGAAATGAAAAAAAAACACCTTGACACACTGGGTAATCCCTAAATCCTGGACTGGTTGATGTGCCTTAAAGGGACACTATAGTCACCCAGACCACTTCAGCTCAATGAAGTGGTCTGGGTGCCAGGTCCCTCAGGTTTTAACCCTTCAGATGCAAACATAGCAGTTTCAGAGAAACTGCTATGTTTACATTTCGGGTTAATCCAGCCTCTAGTGGCTGTCTTCCGGACAGCCACTAGAGGCGCATCTGCGACGCTGGAGGCGAATTACGCCTCCATCGCGCAGAGCGTCCATAGGAAAGTATTGAGAAATGCTTTCCTATGGACACTTTGAATGTGCAAGTGGCACTTGCCGCACATGCGCATTCGGCTCCAGTGACGTCGGACGAGGAGGAGAGGTCACCAGCGCCGAGGGAGCCCGGCGCTGGATTAAGGTAAGTAGCTGAAGGGGTTTTAACCGTTTTGTTTTCCTGACACTATAGTGATCCTTTAAGGACTGCTTTTTAAACCACTAGTTCAAAAGATGACAGTGTGCTTAGTGATTTAGGTGAACCGCTTCAAATCGTCAGTCACTGGTATTTGGATCCCATCAAATTCATAGATACACTAGTGCCTGTTGCGGGTGATTTGGAGGCTATGTTAAGAGGGTGATTATTTTAATTTCTGGTTTAAGGTTTAAGAAACCTTCATATGGTTTCACATGGTGATAGCTCCTTATGTAGCACTCTGCCCTAAGTCAGCTACTGTTTTTGCCTTGACAAATCTCCTCTATACTGTTTAAATGTTGACATATCCACAGTAAAATAAACAGAAAAGTTTAGTAGTGCATCAACGTGTTAATTCAGATACCAATTTGGTCACCAAGGAAAAACTCCCATTTTACTCACTATTCGCTATGGTTTTAATACGCCTGGATCACTGTAAATCTTGAGAAAGATGTTCTTAAATATTTTTGTTTTTTACAAAAATAGATTCAGATTTTTGGGTTTGAGTTTCACAGTTTTATATTACAGCAGCAATAAATTAATTACAGTTGAAAGTTCAGAATATCAATGAGGATGGTGGATTCAGGAAACATTACATTAGCTGTATCTTATGCATTGATTGAGAAAGATGCTAGTTATGTTCACATTTATATTAAAGGAACACTATAGTGCCAGGAAACAAACTTGTTTTCCTGGCACTATAGGGTTATTAGGTCCCCCCCTTCTTCGGAGCCCCCCTCCTGCTGGGCTAAAGGGGTTAAAACCCCTTCAGCCACTTACCTTAATCCAGCGCCGGGCTCCCTCGGCGCTGGTGACCTCTCCTCCCCCTGCTGACGTGAGCTTCGAATGCGCATGTGCAGCAAGAGCCGCACTCATTCAAACCGCCCATAGCAAAGCATTACTCAATGCTTTTCTATGGACGTCCAGCATCATCTCAGTGTGATTTTCACAGTGAGAATCGCGGAAGCGCCTCTAGCGGCTGTCAATGAGAATGTAAACATAGCAGTTTCTCTGAAACAGCTGCAGGGTTAAAACTAGGGGGACTTGGCACCCAGACCACTTCATTGAGCTGGAGTGGTCTGGGTGACTATAGTGGTCTTTTAAGCATGATCATTTAAAGCAGTACTGTTACTTTTGAGCTTTTTATAAAAATAGAATCTTTAGGAAAAGCAATTTTTGACTGTGTTTCTAAGACAGAGTAGGGATGTAATTAATGATCTTTGGCAACCAATGGCAGTCTTTGGCAACAGACCGGTTGGAGATAACAGGCATTAGCTCACATGATGCGCAACAGAAGCTTCTGTTATCTTTTTGTACAAGTACAAGACTATAGTCTGTAGTAATCAGTAGAAAAAGTCATGATTTTTGTGCAGCAATATTTTTGGAGCAAAAAAAGGAAGCACTGTCACTTCAAAGGGAACGCCTGAAAGGTAGGCTTACTGAAAACTGATAATTTCAAGAACTGTAGTCAGTGGTGGAAAGTCCACCGGTGCAGTCGATGTGGCTGCACCGGGGTCCGCACGCTGGATGGGGCCGATCGGGTTGCCCATGCATTTAGGGCCACCCCATTTGTATTATTAGTGAACAGGGGCGTGGTCAGGTGCCGCGACTCTCTAAGACCATGACCGGGCCCCTTTTACATGGGAGGTGCTGGGAGGAAGTGACAGATGGTCATTTCCTCCCAGCTTTTATATAGAGAGTGGCGCGGGGAGCAGCAGCAGGGCCTGGAGGCTGTCCCTCACAGGGGCCCTGCTAGGTTCACTAGTATCCCCTCTGCCCACACTCCTCCCCGAAAGCACATGTACATGTTTATGTGACAGGTAACATATGTCTCCATACACCTGCAGAAATGTATGTATGTATATATGTGTCTACATTCTGATATGTTTATTAATGTCTGTGTACCTGTGTATTGCCTTTTTTCTTCTACACGTAGACGTGTGTACATATATGCCTTCATATTTATGTGTATAAAGGTCTGCTTAACATCATGTTCATATGTGTATAACTGTGCCTGTATGTAGATATGTATACTATATATGCATGTATATTTAATGTGCCTGCATTTATATATTTGCATACATGTCTGTGTACCCGAAAATAGATAAATCTATTTCTGTGTGCCCCAGGTCCTCTTGTTACACTGCTGGTCCTGAAAAATCTGAGATTGTTGGGAGGTGTTTCCCTGCATTGTAACTAAATAAAATTTGTAATTTTGGTCTAATTATTGTCTATATCTGGAACCCTTACTGATCTTTGTATACCTGTATGTACTATGTAATGCTGTCAGCTGAAATGTTTGTAACTAAAGGACTGAGCTCTTTTGTACTGGCCTCTATCTCGTTCAGAATCAATGTATCTGGTTCAGTGCATAAATATGTATATAGGGACAGACTCCCCATAAGGCAGAGTAGGAGCCTGCTACAGGTGCATTTCTAACGCCTTTTAAATTTCCTTTTTATACCTACAACCTAGTTTCTGTTGTTTGCTGATGTAACAGAGGCTACAGGACCTACAGGATAGCTGCATTTAGTCTGAGAGTGCCTGATTTGTGTATAACCCCGCCCCCTATAGGCATTAAAAATGTAAGAAAACAGATTCTAAGTAATTAAAGGGACACTATAGTCACCAGAACAACTACAGCTTAATGTAGTTGTTCATGTAAGTATAATAGTTCCCTTCAGGCTTTTTTAATGCAAAACACTGCCTTTTCAGAGAAAAGGCAGTGTTTACATTGCCTCTAGGGACACCTCCAAGTGGCCACTCCTTAGATGGCCACTGGAGGTGCTTCCTGGGTCAGTGCTGCCAAAAAAGCAGCCCTGACTTCAGCGTCCCCACGCTCTGCATGGAGATGCATTGATTAAATGCATCTCTATGAGGAGGTCCTGTTTGGCCAAAACGGCATTTGGCCCCTCCCTGTGCTGATTTTAGCCAATCCAATGCTTTCCCTATGGGAAAAGCGTTGGATTGGCTAACAATCGGCAGTTTGATTATGTCACAAGGGGGCAGAGCCAGCGCCGGCGGGCCTGTGCGGCGCTGGAAATAAGGTGAGTTTCAAACTTTTATAGAGGGGCTAAGGGGGGCAAGCCATCTAAATGGTGGGTTAAACACTAAAGGTTTAGGAATACATGTTTGTGTTCCTGACCCTATAGTGTTCCATTAATTAAAAGCATACATCTGTGTTTTGAAATGGGTTTAGCTATAGTTTTTTTGGTTTCCTCATGCTTTAACAGGATTTGCACAGTGCAACTCTGGATGCTTTATAATGATGTAAATCAGTAATATTTCAGAACTTTGCCTTTAACAGGCAAGGGTTTAGGGATATCATTGGTTAATACATGTAACATGATCAAATATACCAAACCAATTATATTCCACTTGTGATCATGCAGCTACTTGCTTTCACTGTAACCACAAGAATAGGTTTGAAAAAGTTTGGTCTGCAGAGCTGCCCCACATTGTGTTGAACCACAGATCCACAGCCGGGAACTCTGCTGTAGAATTTGAACATCTTGTTCCAGCAAATGAAATTGAGTATTGGGTCCCATCTTAAAGATTGCAAAATATAATGCAAAACGTTTGCTCTATTCATTACAGCTTTCAATAACATTGTACAATTTAGTCCCATTATTCTGTCACATCACTCATTGGAACAGATATGTAGTGAGAATTTGAAAATCACTATGTATTTGAATGCAACAGAATTGAAACGAAAAATACATCATTATTTAAATATACCACATGTGGGAAGTGAGACAATGAACAGTTTACATTAAGGTTGCTCAAACCAGTCTTGTTTGATCTGCAAAGGTCAAAGTTTTATCACTATCCCCATTGGGACAGAGTTTATAACTCCTTTGGTGACCCTTGGTGATTGATCTGAGAGCCCCGGAGTGCATAAACTTGAAACAGAATCATTCTGAATCAAGACAGTTTTGATGCATTCACGCAATATAATAAACAGCTCTTTGAAATAATTTAATGTCATTCATCATGCGATTAAAAAAAAAATCTGATTAATTAACATGCATGTGATTAAAAAAATATAAAAAAATTATAAGGTGCCTTATGACGCTGGCAGTTTTACCCCACTGAGCTCCAGAACACTAAGCAATTTTTGCAAATGTCTGGTGCTCAAACTTTTCTGTTACGTTGATAAGCTTCAAATGTATCAAAATATACAGTACAGTTGCATATTATATATCCTTTTTGCCCCTGAGTCAAGTAAAGAGGATTTTTAATACAAAGAGGAAATCAGCCATTAAAAGCACTTACATTTTATCTGACGTTAGAAAATAAAAGTAACCCATTTTGATTATTTCCCAGGAAGACCAGGATCCGATTCATGCCTGTGAAGGCCCAAAATCCCTTTGCTGTTTATGGAAGAATCGGGCAAAGATGTATGCCTAACTGGATTGAGATACAATGTAGAGTGCCCGGAAGGTAACTCGAGTGGACTTTCTTGTCCTTGGTCTAGCAGAGCAGGCAGGTTGTCTTCTGAAACTGTGTTTACATGGACTCCGCTTGATAGAGATTCTTTGGATTTCAGTCTTGACTTCTCAAGATCTGTAAATTCTGGACTCTGCTTAATAAATAGAAATACATATCCAAACTGTTATCACGCAGTATCATCAGTTCAGCTTTTTATTACTTGAGAGGGAAATATTATTTTATTAACTTCATGTTGATTAATACATTTCAGTATATTTTTGTGGTACGATAGGCTTTTGCTTCAAAGTAGATTTTGAAAGTACACCATACAAGATGTGTTTTAATGTTAAACGTGTTGGTATTGACTCTTTGTTATTAGAGTACTATGCAAGTATATATTTGTTTTTACTTCACAGTTGTATATTATTGTTTACACAGTATATCCTGTGTGTTCTTATCAGTGAACTTGTTAATGTGTGAGCTATAGCCAACATTGGTAGTGTAACCACATGACTGTTCTTTCTTCTATTACTACACATTTAGATGCTGTTATGTATGACATAAGAGCATAACGGGACATATTTTATTAACTTATAATGGAATAAAATAATGTACACGCTTGTTAAAGCAAAGTAACTGTATGTGTCATGGATGTACCTTACTCATATTATAAGCTGAAGCCTGATTTAAAGGAACTCTATTGTGTTAGGAATACAAATCTGTACATCCTCCCCCATGAGCAATATATGTAGTTAAATAATGGTTCTACTTATGGGTTTTCCAGTGCCGAGATTCCCTCGGCCTGGGCAGCCTTCTCTGCCTCCTATGATGTCATTATGGAGGATTTGTTCAGTGATCATCCAATCCAATGCTCGGAGTATTGGGGACGAGGTGTGTGCATCGCCAGTTGAATTCAATGCTTCGCTATGATCTGCATTTATGGATGAGGACTGTCACATGACTGAGTTTCACTCGGTTGTTGGACAGAAAGTGCCACTAGTGGCTCTCTTGAAGACAGCCACTAGAGATGTGTTTAATTCTGCACTGTAAACATGGGAGTCTACATAACTGCAATATCTTACATTGCAAAGTTAAAACTACAGGTTCACTGCACACTTCATCTTAATGAAGTAGTCTGACGTGCATTTAGTGGTCCTTTAAGTATTATATAAATAATCACCATACGCAATTGTTAAGCCAGGATCAGCAGCTTTGTGTATATTTATATATATATATATATATATATATATATATATACACACACACACACACACACACACACACACACTTCAATTTATAGCAGAAATCAAGACACATACTTTGTATTTCAATTATATGCTTGCCTGTAATGATGGACTGAAGCTTCTGTCTGTTTTGATGGATGCTGTAGGATGTGCACTTTGCGCTTGTCTGACAGCTGGTCTCTGGTATTCCGTGTTTGCTGTTACCATGCTGTATGTTGGAGGAATTAGTGACGCCTGTCTCTGCAGGAGCTGGAGGATACTTTGTATGTCAGCAGTCATTTGTGACTCTAACCTGTAATTAAAAATTAACTATATGAAATAAAACCGGTTAACATTATGTGGCACATTATTCAGCTAACTTCTGTCTCTGAAGAATTTCCTTACATTTTCCATGGTTCAGCAATATAACGCAATATCAACATATTCTTTCTTTAATTGATGATTAGAAGAACACTAACTAACATGACACTTTAAAGGGTTCCTCCAACCCTTAGAACTAATTAGATGTTTTGTCCTCATAATGCCCTATTGGGCATATTTAGCTAGATCCCCCCCTTAACAGAATAAAAACTTTTTTTACTTACCTGACATCCAGCGCCTGGCGAAGCTCCCAGCTCTGACCTCCCTCCTCCATCTGATGTCACATTGCCTTAGCTTGTTCCAATCACAGACTTGGAATTGGACCTTTTTCGCCTGCTCAGAGCGCATTCACGCACTCTGATCCAGTGAGGGGAGGGCAGAGTTAGTGGGTTCCGGAGTTCCAGTCTGCCAAAGTCACGTGTGCTAGCCGTGGAACTAGTCCCCAGCACACAAATGCAAAGAACTCTGACTGTGCAGTGTTTCAATCAGAAACACTGCATATCCAGACTCCTACTACCATGACAACTTCAAACCACTGAAGTTTATAACTCTGTAATAATGTATATGTGGGACTTGGAATCAATGTACAACTTATAACATAAGAAACAAAACAACTAGTGTTTGTGATCAACAAATGTAACACCTAAAATGCTTGTGCTAAAATGAATATGAATAATATTTAGAATGCAAAATATTCTTCTTAAATCTTACTATGATATATACGATTGAAGTTACATTTAAAAGTCAAAGTGCAAGCTGTATAAATACATTATTACTATGGAAATAATAAAAGTGATTTAGCTATAGATTATTATACTGCTATAGGTTAAAGAGTTTTTGGGTGCGTTCCCACCTGTTTGTTTTAAACTGTGATTTGACAAAAACTGGGGCTATGTGCTGTACAATGTCTAATGCTGAAAATGAGCTTCCACATTAACCTGTCCAACGTTGGACAGTAATTTGCCCAGCTCAGTATATCATTACCACTCAAAGTTTAAAGGAAACTACAGTGCCTAGAAAACAAACTTGTTTTCCTGGCACAATAGCTTCCCCTCTCTTGTGCCCCCCTCCCCCGTGATGCAGAAGGCCAGTGGTGGAAACCTAATGCGCATGCGTGGCAATGGCCACACTCACATTAGGATTTCCACATAGGAAAGCATTATACAATGCTTTCCTATAGGATTATGGTATATTGGGTGACACTGGACGTCCCAATGCGTAGTGTGAGGATGTCCAGCATCAGTTAGGCGACCAAAAGTCACCTAACAGCTTGGAAGTCCCTCTAGTGGCTGTCTGGTAGCCAGCCACTAAAGGTGGAGTTAACCCTCAAAGGTAATTATTGCAGTTTCTTAAAAACTGCAATAAATATCTTTGCAGAGTTAAGGGACCTGGGACAATGCACCCAGACCACTTTAATTAGCTGAAGTGGCCTGGGTGCCTATAGTGTCTTTTTAAACAAGCTGAATAGGAAGTACACAGGTTCAGTAAGCAAGCAAACATATATAAAATGATAATCATAAGAGGAATGCAGAATGTCAGAAAACCAGCCAAAGTAACAAGTAGGCTTGCGTATATGGCTTCAAATTAATGAGATTAGTCGAAATAATGAGCGATCGGCGATGTGTCCAAATTCTGCAAATTTAGAAATGTCGTATGGATGTATCATGATGTTAATGAAATGAAATGGGCAATAGGAGAGCCATTTCATTTTGGAGTTCCGTTCAAGGTAAAGATGATTGATACAAAAAAGATGATTGGCGGTTTGGGGACAGCCACTAAATGTGAATTGTACAAGTGCTCACATTGAGCTGAGGGAACTAGGAATAGTGCTTAATATGCTCCTCTTTTTGTGCCAAGTACACATTATATATATATATATATATATATAAAACCTTTACATGCTCATATATAAATACGGAGTTCTCACAGCAACCAAAATCTGCTCACTGACTTCTAATTTATTCTACTCAAGTGGCCTTCTAGTTTATCTAATCCTGAAGCAGTCATGAGTCATGCAGTATGCAGTGTTAAAGAACACTTATTTGTAACAGTGATGTTACATTGCAAAAATTATACATCAAATGTATCCTGCTCTATGGACCACATGACAATGCCTATTTCCTATTTGGGGACATCACTGACATACCTCTCAAAAATTGAAAAATAGACTTGGACATTCATTTCAGACCTAACAGCAATTCAACTGAAATTGGGTCGATTGGGTGATCAGAAGAAATTCCTATGTGCAAGCCCCCACATGCCTGAATCTCAGGGGGACCAAGTTGGATGAAACCAAAAATGCACAGTTCAGTTCCTGATTCCTGGTACCAGAAAAAAGTGGGATGGAATGGAGAACAAGCCTATTTTATTTGGGGGGAGGTGGGGTATGTAAGCATGTAAGCTCATTAAGCAGGGCCCTCAACTCCTCTGTTCCTGTGTGTCCAACTTGACTGGTTACAACTGCATGTCTGTTCTTACACCCACTGTAAAGCACTACGGAATTTGTTGGCGCTATAGAAATAATAACATAATAATAATAATAATAATAAAAGTACTAAGGGAGACAGCGTCTCTTTCTCACCCAGACCCTTTGTGTGTCTCTTTCTCCCCCCAGTCTATTTGTGTCTCTCTTTCTCTCTTTTCTCCCCAGCCCCTTTATGTGTGCCTTTCTTTCCCCAGCACCTATATAAATATTTACTGCATG